GGTCATCAGGAGAATAAGAAGACAAGCCACAGACTAGGAGAAAATATCTGCAAAAGACGTATCTGATAAACGACTGTTACCCAAAATATACAAAGAACACTTAAAACTCAACAATAAGAAAACCAGGGCTTCCTTGGTGGTACAGTGGTTAAGAATCCGCCTGCCATGGGCTTCCCTGGTGGTGCAGTGGTTGAGAGTCTGCCTGCCGATGCAGGGGACATGGGTTCTTGCCCTGGTCTGGGAAGATCCCACTTCCCGCAGAGCAGCTGGGCCCGTGAGCCATGGCCGCTGAGCCTGCGCGTCCAGAGCCTGTGCTCCGCGACAGGAGAGGCCACAACAGTGAGAGGCCCGCGTACCGCAAAAAAAAAAAAAAAGAATCCGCCTGCCAATGCAGGGGACACAGGTTCAAGCCCTGGTCTGGGAAGATCCCACATTCCACAGAGCAACTAAGCCCGTGCACCAAAACTACTGAGCCTACACTCTAGAGCCCGTGTGCCACAACTACTGAAGCCCTCGCGTGTAGAGCCTGTGCTCCACAACAAGAGAAGCCACCACAATGAGAAGACTGTGCACCACAACGAAGAGTAGCCCCATTCGCCGCAACCAGAGAAAAGCCCGTGCGCAGCAACAAAGACCCAACACAGCCAAAAATAAAATAAATAAGTTAAAAAAAAATAAAGAAAACCAACAACGCAATTAAAAATGGGCAAAAGATCTGAACAGACACCTCACCAAAGAAGATATACAAATGGCAAATAAGAATATCAAAAGATGTTCAACATCATATGTCCTTAGAGAATTGCAAATTAAAACAACAGTGAGATACCACAACACACCTATTAGAATGGCCAAAATCCAATACATTGACAACAACAAATGCTGGTGAGGATGTGGAGCAACAGGAACTCTCAGTCAGTGCTGGTGGGAACACAGAACATTCTGGTGGGCTACTTTGGAAGACAGTTTGGTGATTTTTCACAAAACTAAACATATTCTTATCATATGATTCAGTGATCACACTCCTTGGTATTCACCCAAAAGAGTTGAAAACTTACTTCCACACAAAAACCTGCACATGGATGTTTATAGCAGCTTTATTCATACTTACCAAACTTGGAAGCAACCAAAATGTCCTTCAGGGGAATTCCCTGGTGGTCCAGTGGTTAGGACTCCACACTCTCACTGCCGAGGGCCTCAGTTCAATCTCTGGTTGGGGAACTAAAATCCCACAAGCCGCTCAGCAAGGCCAAAAAAAAAAAAAAAAAAAATGTCCTTCAGTAGGTGAATGGGTAAATAAACGGTTGTACATCCAGACAAGGAATATTACTCAGCACTAAAAAGAAATGAGCTATCAAGCCATGAAAAGACATATGACCAAAAAAAAAAACAAAGGACATAAGACAACCTTAAACTCATAAACTCATATTACTAAGTGAAAAAAGCCAATCTGAAAAGGTTACATACTGTATGATTCCAACTGCATGACATTCTGGAAGAGGCAAAACTGTGGAGCCAATAAAAAGATCAGTGGTTGCCAGAGGTTAGTGGGGAAGGAGGGATGAATAGGTGACGCACGGAGGATTTTTACAGTGCAGAAACCATTCTGCACGATACTGTAATGGTGTATATGTTTCATTATACATTCTTCAAAACCCATAGCATGTACATGACCGAGAGTGAACCCTGAAGTAAACTGTGGACTGGAGGTGATAATAATGTGTCAATGTAGGTTCATCAATTACACCCAGTGTACCAATGTGGCGGAGGATGTTGATAGTGGAGAAGGCTGTGCATGTGTAGGGGCGGGGGTATGTGGGAACTCTACCTTTTGTTTAATTTTCCTGCAAACTTAAAACAGCTCTAAAAAATAAAGTCTATTTTTTAAATCAAAAGGCCATAAACTGGCCATAAATTTAAATTGGCTATAAAATTTTAAAAGTTAACTGGACAGGGCTTCCCTGGTGGCTCAGTGGTTAAGAATTCACCTGCCAGGGCTTCCCTGGTGGTGCAGTGGTTGAGGGTCCGCCTGCCGATGCAGGGAACACGGGTTCGTGCCCTGGTCCGGGAAGATCCCACATGCAGTGGAGCGGCTGGGCCCGTGAGCCATGGCTGCTGAGCCTGCGCGTCCGGAGCCTGTGCTCCGCAATGGGAGAGGCCACAACAGTGAGAGGCCCGCGTACCGCAAAACAAAACAAAACAAAAAAATCCACCTGCCAATGCAGGGGACACGGGTTCGAGCCCTGGTCCAGGAAGATCCCACATGCCACAGAGCAACTAAGTCCGTGCACCACAACTACTGAGCCTGCGCTCTAGAGCCCACAAGCCACAACTACTGAGCCCGGGTGCCACAATTACTGAAGCCTGTGTGCCTAGAGCCCGTGCTCTGCAATGAGAAGCCACCGCAATGAGAAGCCCGCACACCACAATGAAGACCCAATGCAGCCAAAAATAAATAAATAAAATAAATAAATTTATTTAAAAAAAAGTTAACTGGACATATTTTTGGACTCTCAATTCTATTTCACTGATCTACGTGTCTATCCTTATTTCAATAACACACTTTTTTTGTTTTAATATTTACTTATTTGGCTGTACCGGGTCTTAGTTGCAACACACGGGATCTCCATTGCCGCGTGCAGGATCTTCGTTGTGGCATGCGGGATCTTTTGGTCCCAGCATGCAGAATCTTTAGTTGTGGGATGTGGGATCTAGTTCCGTGACCAGGGATTGAACCCAGGCCACCTTCATTGGGAATGTAGAGTCTTAGCCACTGGGCCACCAGGGAAGTCCCTGTAACACACTGTCTTGATGACTGTAGCTTTGTAGTCAGTTTAGAAATAAAGAAGTGTGAGTCCTCCAACTTTGTTCATTTTCAAAATTGTTTTGGCTATTCTGGGTCCCTTGCATCTCCATATCATCTTTAGGATCAGCTTGATAACGTCTGCAAAATAGGCAGTTGGGATCTTGATAGGGATTGCACTGAATATGCAGACCAATCTGGGGAATATACTGCCATCTTAACCATATGAAGTCTTCTAGTCCATGAACATGGGTTGTGTTTCCACTTGTTTAGGTCTTAATTTTTTTCAATGATGTTTAGTACATTTCCATGTACAAGTCTTGCATTTCTTTTGTTAAATTTATTCTAAGTATGTTTAAAAATAAATTTATTCTTTTTGATGCTATGTAAGCAGAATTGTTTTCTTAATTTCATTTCTGAATAGTTCATTGCTAATGTATAGAAATGTAAATGATTTTTATTTATTTATTTATTTATTTATGGCTGTGTCGGGTCTTCGTTGCTGTGCGCGGGCTTTCTCTGGTTGCAGTGAGCGGGGGCTACTCTTCGTTGCAGCGCGCGGCTTCTCATTGTGGTGGCTTCTCTCATTGCAGAGCATGGGCTCTAGGCACGCAGGCTTCAGTAATTGTGGCACATGGGCTCAGTAGTTGTGGCTCACAGGCGCTATAGCGCAGGCTCAGTAGTTGTGGCGCATGGACTTAGTTGCTCTGTGGCATGTGGGATTTTCCCAGACCAGGGATCAAACCTGCGTCTCCTGCATTGGCAGGCAGATTCTTAACCACTGTACCACCAGGGAAGTCCCTGTAATTGATTCTTTTATATCAATCTTCAATCCTGTACCTTTGCTAAACTTGATTATTAGTCGTAATATTTGTGTGTGTGTGAATTCTTTAGGATTTTCTATACATAGGGTCATGTCATCTGTGACTAGAGACAGTTTTCCTTCTTCCTATCTGGATTCCTTTTATTTCATTTTCTCACTGAATTGCCATGGCTAGAACCTCCAGTAAAATGTTGAATACAAGTGGTATTCAACATTCAATACAAGAGAGAGCGGGCATCCTTATGTTCCTGATGGGAAGGGGACGCTTTCAGTCTTTCACCATTAAGTATAGCAGCTGAAGGTTTTTCGTAGATGGTCTTTATCAGGTTGAGGACAGTCCTTCGATTCCTAGTTTGGTAAATATTTTTTCTGTCTGTTGAGATGATCATGTGGTTTTCGTCCTTTATTAGTATGGTGTATTACATTGATTGATTTTATTTATTTATTTATTTATTTGGTTGCACCAGGTCTTAGTTGAACCTCCCGGGCTCCCTAGTTGTGGCATGTGAACTCTTAGTTGCGGCATACATGTGGGATCTAGTTCCCTGACCAGGGATTGAACCCAGGCTCCCTGCATTGGGAGCACGGAGTCTTGTCCACTGTGCCACCAGGGAAGTCCCTACGTTGATTGATTTTCATATGTTAAATCAATTTTGCATTCCTGGGATAAATCTCACTTGCTCCTTTTTATACTTTCCTGGATTCGATTTGCTAGTATTTTGTTGATAAATTCTGCATCTATATTCTCTCTCTCTCTTTGTTTTTTGACCAAGCCCACAGCATGCGAAACCTTAGTTCCCCGACCAGGGATCGAACACATGCCCCCTGCAGGAAGCACAAAGTCCTAACCACTGGATGGCCAGGGAATTCCCATCTATATTCTTTTTAATAAGTTTATTTTTTTATTTTTATTTTTGGCTGTGTTGGGTCTTCGTTGCTGCTCATGGGCTTTCTCTAGTTGAGGCAAGTGGGGGCTACTCTTCATGCGGTGCACGGGCTTCTCATTATCATGGCTTCTCTTGTTGCAGAACATGGGCTCTAGAGCACACGCTCAGTAGTTATGGCGTACGGGCTTATCTGCTCCACAGCATGTGGGATCTTCCCGGGCCAGGGATCAAACCCATGTCCCCTGCATTGGCAGGCAGATTCTTAACCACTGTGCCACCAGGGAAGCCCCTCATCTATATTCTTAAGGGATATTGATCTGTACTTTTCTTGTGATGTCTTTGTTGGGTTTGGTGTCAGGATAATCCTGGTCTTGTAGAACGAGTTGGGAAGTGTTCCCTCCTTCTTCTTCCTTTATTTTTTGGTGCTTTATTTTCTCTGCATCCTCCTGGTGCTCCTCTGTGTAACCGCCTTGCTCACAGGGGTCCCAGCCATACCCTTGGAAGTTTAGTTCACTGCGTCAATTGTGCTTGGCCTCAAATATCCATTGGGTGTTAGTGCCTATGGTAAGAGTGTTTCTCTGGGTAGATACAAAGTCAGGGCCATGAAGCACTGCACACCACCTCTCAAGGGGTCATCAGTAAGGCGTCTCGGGACCTCCTGTTACAAAACTGCCCAACCCTCTTGGTTTGAAATGCATTTTTCTGGATTTTTGTGGAGGCATTTCAGAACAAGGAACACCTGCTCAGTTCTGTTGAGGCCACATGGGAGAAAAGCGAGAGGGACATCTTCCCTGCAGGAAGTGGGACCCCATCTGAGAAGTTCCTCAAGACATTATCAGCCAAATAACAGAAGGGAGCAAGGGGGCTGGCTAAGGCAGAGTGCTCCAAGTGGCACCATCTTACCAGGGAGTCCACCATCCTGTCACGAGCCCACTGAAGCAGACAGGTGGCAGGTGCCCTTAAAATCCTATTCCACAAACCACATATAAACCTGAAAACACGTACAAAGTTCTGGGAGAAAAGGCTATCCATTTTGGTTTTGGTTTGCTTGGATGGATTGTCATCATTCTGCTGTGAACAAGTAAACACCCTGTCACACCCACCTTTTCATTTTCAAAGAAGTGGCAGGACAAAGACCCCTCAGTCCCAGGAATAAACATGCCTTGTCATAAACATGTCACGTGATGGGATGCGGGGACTGTCCATGATGTAGGGCTAAGCATGGTGTAGGTGCTCAGTACACTGTGCCTCTCACTGACATCCATGAGTGGGGGGCTGCTGTGGGGTCCCCCAGGGTCCTCCTGGCCTGACGCAGGTGCTCCTTGGCTAGGAGGGGCCTGAGGGGCATCCTGGGCTAGAGGGCTGTGCGTTGTCTCCAGGAGGCTGCTGCCTCCTTTGGGGACATTGTCTGTAACAAGAAGCTCAGAACAGCCAGTGTGCATTCTGCCAATTCACAGGACATTCCTGAAGCCAGGCACTCCTTCGTCAATGTGTGAGGTGGCTTCCTGCCATCCCACTGTGCGGGGGAGGTCAGGACTGTCCAGAGCCACTCAGCCAGACCTCTACCCTCAGCTTACCAGGGCCTGCCTGACTTCTGCGCCCCCACACCCCCGGAGTTGGGGGTGGCTGGATGGTGCCTAGCGGGGTGGAATGCACATGTGGGGAGGAGGGATCAAAGAGGGTGTCTGCCCCAGTGGAACGCGTGTGGGCTCCAGACCCCCACCCCCAGACCTGGACCTTAACCTGCACCTGGCTGCGAGGCCACTCTGGTGGCTTGGGCTTCCTTATCTGTGAAGCAGACACAATGATAGGGTATCCCTAGGACCTGGTGAGTTAAGAGGGGGTGGGCTACCTGGGTGTTTGCGACAGCGAGGTGGGGCCCGGTGCTGGGTCTGGCGCCCTGGGGGTTGGGGCGGGCTCTGCGCACTGACCTCACCCGCAGGCGGGGCAGGCTCAGCGTGCAGAGCGGCAGCGACGGCAGCAGCGGCGGTGGCAACAGTAGGTGGGTCGCAGAGTCCAGCGGAAACAGATTCAGGCCCAGGAGGAGGCGAAGGCTCAGGTACCTGGGGACAGGGTGAGGCAAAACTGGCTCCAGGGGCGGCGGCGGCATGTTGGGGCCGGCAGTGCAGCGCCAAGCTCAGGGATCCGGCGCCACGCCCAGGGCTCCCCGGCTCGGCTCGCGTCAGGTGCGCTGTTCCTCCAGTCCAGCGGGGCGGGGAAGGGGGGAACCGCGATGTCTGGGGCCAGGTGGCCGCCTGGGCTACGCCCAGGGCTGCAGCTCCGCTCCTGTTCCGCGTCCTGGAGGCCTGGCCCAGCTCCCGGGAAGCCTCGGGTTTCCCCCTCGCTCTGGGATCCCAGATCACAGGGGCTTGGTTCTCAGCCATGCTCCCTGGGGCTGCCCCCTTCTCACCCTCAGGGTCCACCCCCACCCCCACCAACAGGCCCAGATTCGGCTCCACCATGGAGCCCCTGAGGCGGAGAGGGCCTCCCACCCACCCCTGTCCCAGCCCTGCCAGAGGGCAGGCCAGTGTTAAGCGGCTCACTACCCCTGGGTGGGATCAGAGGGAGGACGGAAGGCTGGGCAGCCTGTCACTCCCCTCTGGCCCTGGTAGGTGCCAGCAGCTGGCTTGGTGCTCCTCTCAGCTGCCTGCAATGGCTTCAGGACTGCCCAGCACTGCCGGCCTGGCGCGCTTCTGCCAGAAGCTGAAACGGCTGAAGCCGCTGGAGGAGGCCACCATGGAGACATCGCTGCAGCGCTGCCTGTCCGCGCTGGACCTGACCCTGCTGGGAGTGGGGGCCATGGTGGGCTCGGGCCTCTATGTGCTCACCGGTACCGTGGCCAAGGAGATAACCGGCCCGGCCGTGATCGTGTCCTTCACTGTGGCCGCCGTGGCCTCCCTGCTGGCGGCCCTGTGTTACGCTGAGTTTGGGGCACGCGTGCCCCGCACAGGCTCTGCCTACCTGTTCACCTATGTGTCCATGGGCGAGCTGTGGGCCTTCCTCATCGGCTGGAACCTGGTGCTCGAGTACGTCATAGCTGGTGCTGCTGTGGCCCGCGCCTGGAGCGGCTACCTGGACGCCATGTTCGACCACCACATCCGCAACTTCACCGAGGCCCACGTGGGCATCTGGCAGGTGCCCCTCCTGGCCAGATATCCTGACTTCCTGGCTGCCGGCATCCTACTTTTGGCCTCCACCTTCGTCTCCTGCGGAGCCCGTGTCTCCTCCTGGCTCAACCACACCTTATCTGCCATCAGCATGGTCGTCATCCTCTTCATCATCATCCTGGGGTTTGTCCTCGCCCGCTCACACAACTGGGGCAAGGAGGAGGGCGGCTTTGCACCCTTCGGCTTCTCCGGTATCATGTCCGGCACCGCGACCTGCTTCTATGCCTTCGTGGGCTTTGACGTCATTGCCGCCTCTAGTGAGGAGGCCCGGAACCCGAAGCGAGCCGTGCCCCTGGCCATTGCCATCTCGCTTGGCCTCGCAGCCAGCGCCTACATCCTGGTCTCCACGGTGCTCACCCTCATGGTGCCCTGGCACAGCCTGGACCCTAATTCAGCGCTCGCTGACGCCTTCTACCAGCGGGGCTACAGCTGGGCTGGCTACCTCGTGGCGACTGGCTCCATCTGCGGTAAGTGGGGTCCTGCCCTGGCCTCCCGGGGAACACATCTCCAGTTGGGCCTCAGTTTTACCAGTTGTATAATGGACCCGGGAACGGGCTACTTATTAGACTCCACCCAGGCTTGTTGGCAGAGACCTACTCAACCCACTCCCTGTTGTACATGGTATGTCGGTCTGGGCGTGTGCTTCTGTGTCCTTTCCTGGACAGAGGTACTCAGCCTTCACCAGATTCCCCAGTGGCCTGTGACCTAAACTGAGGTGTCCCACTCCTGGGTTGGGGTAGTGACAATCCTGCACCCTATAGGCACTCAGGCTCACTCTGAGAACCCAGACAGACTCGTGCGCATGCTCCCGAGGTGCCCCAGCCGTGGCCCGTGGGGTGTCTATGTGCCATGCTGACCAGCCCCCGCCCTCTGCTGCAGCCATGACCACTGTCCTGCTCAACGGTCTCTTCTGCCTTCCCCGCATCATCTACGCCATGGCCGTCGACGGGCTATTCTTCCAGGCATTTGCCTACGTGCACCCCCGGACACAGGTGCCTCTGGTAGGCATCCTGGTGTTCGGGGTTCTCACGGTTTTGGTGGCGCTGCTGCTGGACCTCGAGGCATTGGTCCAGTTCCTGTCCATTGGCACACTGCTGGCCTACACCTTCGTGGCCATCAGCATTATCGTGCTGCGATTCCAGAAGGCCCCTCTGTCCAGTTCCCCAAGCCCAGCCAGCCCCCGCCCTGCGGCCAAGGAGTACAATTCCTTCTCAGACCACATAGAGCTGGTGGGCACCGAGCAGGTCCCAGCCCCCGAGCCTGGGCAGCTGCGGCCAGCCCTGAGGCCCTACTTGGGCTTCCTGGATAGGTGCAGCCCTGGAGTGGCCGTGGCTTCAGCGATCTGCGTCCTGGTGGCCTCAGCCATCACCCTGGGCTGTGTGCTGATCTTCGGGGACTCAGCCCTGCACCTCCCTCGCTGGGGTTACATCCTGCTGCTTCTGCTCTGCAGCATCATGTTTCTGCTCAGTCTCCTCGTCCTGGGGGCCCACCAGCAGCAACGCCAGCAGGACACCTTCCAGGTACCTCTCTCCACTCCCAACACCCACTTGCTGTCAGCCCACCAGCTCCCTTCTCCCCCGCATCCTCCGCTGCAGCGGGATGACCACGGCTCACAGGCTGGGGAGGCAGCATGCACATCCACCTGTGTCTGTGAGCGGGCCCTGGTCTCCAGAATCTCCAGAGGCAGAGAAAGGCTCTGAGGCCTCTAGAGCAGTTGGGCCCTGGGCCAGCAGCCTCCCCTGCAGCCCAGCCCAGCCCTACCCTTGCCCCTTCAGATCCCCATGGTGCCCCTGATTCCAGCCTTGAGCATTCTCCTCAACATCTGCCTCATGCTGAAGCTGAGCTACCTGACCTGGGTGCGCTTCTCCATCTGGCTGCTGATTGGTGAGTGGGGGGCCAGGCTGGTGTCCTGGGCCGGCTGCAGGAGGAGGGTGAGGAGGGCGAGCAGGGCTGAGACCTGCCATTCATGCTCGCGCCACCCCTGCAGGACTCTTGGTATATTTCGGCTATGGCATCTGGCACAGCAAGGAGAACCAGCGGGAGCTGCCGGGGCTGACCATCACACGCTATGTGGTTTTCTCTAGCGGCAGCCTGGAGGAGACAGTGCAGGTTGTGCAGCCCCCCAGCCAGGTGCCAGCCCAGGAGCCCAGCAGTCCATGAGAGCTACCTGCCCTCCATCCAAGGCAGCTCCGGTTTGCGGGCCTGCCCACGCTAGGGGGGTCCTTCGGACTGTAGTTCAGGGGCTGAGCTTTGAGTCTTTGGAGCCAGTGTGGCCAGCGCTGGTGTGGTGGACTCTTTGTGCAGTGCCTTCCAGTTTATGTCCAACTCCAGCAACCTGGGCAGGTGGGGTAGGGAGGGTCGGGAAGAAGCCCCAGCCTCAGGAATCCATGATAATAACTGCTTAGCCAGCCATGTGGCCTGTGTCGTGTCCATTGTTCTTTGCGGCACTGAGTCCTCACCTGCCCCCAGGAACCACGCGATTGTCCCCAGTGCAAAGCAAAGGTGCAGAAGTTCTGCAAGGGGGAGATGCCAGCCCTGGGACAGCCCTTAGTCGAGGACACTCAGGCCAGTGCCCTCTGCCCTGCTCAGAAGGCACTATACATACACCCATATGCACTAGGTACAAGAGGGGCAGTGTCAGGCTCCCCTCCTCTGGGGGATGGGTCCAGACAGAAGTGCCCGGGCCCCAAGGAGGCCACCTAGAAAGGGCAGCAGAGTTCGGGGTCCCCTTGGTTTCTCCAGAGCATGGCATGTGCCTGAGGCCTGCCTAGGGAGGCAGAGGCACACACACAGCTTCAAGCATATATCCACGTGCCCGCGCGGCTACCCTGGGGTGCGCACTGTGTGCAGACTGAGGCAGCAGCTGTTTCCAAGCTCAGACCCTGGTGCTGCTCTCCAGCTGCCCCAGGGGATGCGTGCGCAAGAGCCTGAACCTGCCCCAAGTGCCTTCCAGCCCCCCTGGTCCTTGGGGTGGGGTCCCCAGGCCCACCCTGCACTGCCCACTCGTCTCCCAGGTGATGCTGTGCCCACCACAGGCACCACTAGCTCCCGTCTCTGCCTGTAAGGAGCACGCAGGAAGCTGCTGTCGACAGGCTTTACTCCTGGACCCTGAAGCCATACATCAGCTTTCTTTGGGCCCCATACATGGGACCCCACCCCGGTAAAGATCTCAGGGCCATGTTCTCTCACCCTGACCTTTGTGGCCTGCCTCCCCAGAGACACTGCTCTGGGGATTGCGAGGCATCAGGGACCCCAAGGCTTTGCTGAGGCTCCAGATGCCAGATGGTTCCAGATGCTAGCCCAGCCTGAACCCCAACCCTGCCCTCCCCAGCTGGCCCATGTCACTGCCCCGGCAAGCGGCCAGCATGCCTAGTCACCGGGCCCCATGAGAAAGCAGCCCCTCGCCTCCCAGGTGGGCACTCCCAAACCCCTGCCGCTCCCCTGGGGCCAAGACAGGGTCAGACCCCTGCAGCCAGTCCCTCCCTCCCAGCTGTAGGCTCCCTGGCGCATGGGGAGTTCTCCAGCGGGCAGGACTCACACCCTGTGAGGACGTCACAGCCAGATCCAGGCCAGCCTGCCGGGGCCTCTGGAATTTGTTTGGGGCATTCCTTCTGGCCACTGGGCTCCACCCGAAGCGAAGGACAGGGCCTCCTTCGAGCAGTTGCCTCGGGCTGGTTCTTAGGCGTGTGACCTTGGGTAGCAGTGAATTCCAGATATACATTCTCCCCACCCCCACAGTTCCAGGAGGTTGAGCTGGGTGTCACCAAGGAGCACACAGACGGTCCCAAAGGACCCAATGACCACCAACTCAGCTTCTCCATCCTCTTCTCCCAATCCCAGCCCTCCACAGTCTGAGGGCTGCCACCGGGAAGGGCTGGTGCATGCGCCATTGCCAGGTCCTAGTGGGTTGGATCATCTGCCTGCCCCAGTCTGAATTCCATGGATGACCCCCCCAAACTGGGTGGGGACAAGACCCAGGTACCCAGCACCAGAACAACAGAGACAGCCAGCCCTCTTGTCAGACCTCTTTCTACCCTGCCCTAGACTACGGCAGCACAGACCCTGGAACGGCGCTGAGAGGGTGGGGGCTCTACCTACAATGGGGGTGCTGCCAGGGGAGAGGGCTAGAGCCTGCACAGCCAGTGGAGGGTCTGTGCTGACCACTGGTGAGTGAGCCGCTGCTGGAAGCCCTGGTGACAGAGCTGGGAGAGAGTTCTCCAGACACAGCTGGAGCCCTTGTGACCAGCGCCTGGGACATGTTCCGCTGCAGGTCTCTGTGCAATAGTAGCTTCTGCTGCTCCCTGGGCAGTACCCTGCCGAGGCCAGAGTCAGGGTAGGGACAGTGTGCCTGGGAGTTGAAGGATGGAATTCTCCCACTCCCTGCCCTGGTCCTGCTGGGGCTCCATCCATGAGGTTCCCAAGGCAAGGCCCCTCCCTTCCCAGCCCCGACCCCTGACAGCAGGGAACAGGCCTCAGGAATGGGCCAGCAAGCAGGCGCCAGGGCCAAGGCTTTGGTGTCCAGCTCCTGGTAGCAGCCCTGGCTGTTGGGACAGGCGCTGGGGCCCCTCTAAGGAGCCTGGGCAGCCAGATGCAGGGGTGCAGATGCTGGTTTTGTCTGCTCAGGGCTGGCGGTCACCTTTGGAGCTTTTGCCTGCAGATAAGGACAGCAGGTCGGGGCTCAGGCCGACGTTCCCCAGAAGTGTAGCAGAGCCCAGGCACCAGGCAGGCCAGCAGCTTACCTCCTCATACTTGGTCCTCCAGTAGAAATGAGCTTCTCCATCCACGTACAACAGCAGCAGGTCACACAGGAAAGTGATCTGGGAGAGGCAGGACTGACCTGTGTCCCGGCCCCCAACCCGTCCTCCCGCCACCTCCCCAGACCTCCCCCCAACTAGACCTAACGTCAGGGGGCTCGGCTGTGCCATCGGATGGGCCTGGGCCCACATTCACTGAAGCCAGAGGGAGCACACTTGAGCCAGACTCACCACGCCCAGCCAAGCTGCTCCTGTGCCCAGAGTGATGAGTGTGGGGATGAGCCCGAACTTCCCTGCCTGAGAGAACTGGGTAAGCCTCTAAGCCGTGCCTGTCACCCCCAACCCACCCGCCCCTGCCCACCTACCCGCCCAGTGACGAGGATGTCAAAACGGATCCCGTAGAGCTTTAGCAGACTCCGGACCTCCACACCCGAGGCCTCCCACCAGTGAGTGGCCGTCCTGGGGGCAGGAGAGAGTCTGGTGGCCTGTTCTGCCCGCTTCCCGGCCCTCCCAGGCCTCCATCTTACTCACCCACTGACTCCACAAACCCCCAGCCCTACCCTGAGTCCTGGGTTTTTTGTTGAGGATACAGGGAAAGAGCAAGCAGGACCCGCCTTTCAGGAGCTCCCTGCCTGCTGAGGGGATGAGGTAGAGGGGTCTCTAAATAGATGCCTGCAGTGGGGGCAGGGGGAGCTGGGGGGCAGGCCCAGGGCTGTGAGGGTCCAGAGGGGGTAGCTCACTCTCCCCTAGGAACCAGGGAAGGCTTTCTGCAGTGGGGACACGCAGGTTGGTTTTCCAGGGATCAGGAAGGAGTTCTAGACAAAGCAGTACCAGCGAGAGCACAGAACTAAGGGGAGCAGAGCACAGGTGGGGGCCAGCTCCACATAGCTGCAAAGGGCAGGGGAGGTCAGTGAAACCAGTCCAGGCAAGGTCCGCTCGTGTGTGTGTGCACGCAAGTGACGAGGTGACATGAGGTGGCAGAAACATAGGATCCCACTGGGCAGCAGCAGGGGAAGGTCTGCTTGGGAGACTCAAAGGCATGAGAATAAATGCAATGCAAGTTCCTTGAGTACACCCTGGATTGGAAAATAAAAAGATTTTGGACTATTATTGGCACAATTGGGGAAATTTAAATATTAGATTCATTCTGCCAGTGTTAAATTTCTTGAATGTGACAACAGGACAGCGGTCACTTGGGAAAGGTGCCTATTCTCAGGACAGCCTGGGGAGGGGTGAGTGTCTGCCGGACATCTCCTTACTTTCAAATGGTTTGGTCTGAAATCTATCTAAATATATCCAGCTCAGTCTAGAGAGGAGAGAGAAAGCAAACGTGTCAAAATGGTAAAAACAAAAAACAAAAAAAACCCTGGTGAACCCAGATGACAGCTATATGGGTGTTCACGGTACTAATTTTTGAACTTTTCTATAGATTTTTGTAATTTTTTTGATAAAACCTTAAGGGAAAAGTAAAAAAGAAAGCCCCCTGTGCAGTGGAGGGAGGTGCTAGAGGCAGGATGGGGGAGGAGGGGCTGGGGGAGGGGTCCCAGCAGCAGCAGGGGTTGGGGTGGAGGAGATAAGGCTCAGGAGGGAGGCTGGATGGAGCCTGTGTTGGGGGTCGTGGAGCTGAGACCACCTCCTCCTTCCCCTGGGCCCCCCTCCCACATACAGTGGCCATCCAGAGTTCTGGGAGGGGTGGTCTGTGCCGGCCACCACAGGAGGACAGGCAGACGAGAACCTGGCTCGGAGCAGGTGGGCAGTGGGGGCCGCACCTGAAGTTGTAGCTCCGCTCCTGCAGCTGGAAGGAGTAGTGGGGCCAGCAGTCAGAGGCCCTGGTGTCCAGGTCGCAGTTCCAGTGGACGTGGATGCCCATGGCACCGCCCTGCACACAGCACAGCACTGCTCCACTGGCTTGGGGCCCGGGGCCCTCTCCCAGCCCTCCCGGAACCCTGCCCCCTCCACAGACCCACCAGCAGCGCCAGGTCCTCAAAGACCCCTCCAGCTGCGGCCATGAGGTCCCTGATGCGGAACACAGGGCAGGAGGGGCTGGAGCGCGGGTCGTAGCGGCAGCGCTTGAAATATGTTGGGTCCTGGGTGTCCAAGGCATTGGACCTGAAAGGGGTGGGCCAGGGTCAGGCCAGGCAGGGGACACAGAGGGTCTTCGACCAGCCAGGACCCTCCCACCTTACTTGGAGAAGTTAAACTTGCTGAAGGTGACGGTGTTTTTGATGAACAGCGTGAAGTTCTCGGCCTGGACCAGCAGGGGCTTCCTGTGGGGCAGGGGGCAGGGCGGGGGGGGGGGGGGCGGTGAGTGGCAGGCTCTGTGGTCCTGGGGCAGGGATGGAGGATGCGGGGGAGACTTACACAGGCACAGCACCACTCTCCACTGGGCACCAGCCCCGGATCTCACAGGTCCTGTGGGTCCCGTTGAACACTACGCACTGGCCCGTTTTTATGCCTTGAAAATGCAAGACAAACTCCAGGCCCTCAAATCTCCATGGGGCCTGGGGAGGGGTGGGGAGGGGGCCGTTGACAGAGAGACGCAGAGGCACCATGTGCACTGGTGAGCCACCCAGGGTCCCACCAGGCCCCCGGAGCCCCCATTCCAGTGGAAGCACTGCAAGGTGGGGGTTGGGGGGGCCGGTTACCGTGGCTGTGGGTCCCTGTCTCCCCTTCAGGACAGTCCTGGTCGGCCCAGCAGCTAGCCAGCGGGATGGAGGGGTGCTAGGGGTGAGAGAGCAGACTTGCCAAGGGCCGAGGGATGCCTCCTCCGTGACCTGCCCTGAAGTCCACAGGGACTCGCCCCTCCCTGCCTTAGCCTCTCAGGGATCTCTGAGTTTGGGGGCCCAAGAGAAAGCTGGAGGGTGCAAATGAAATGGGGGCGCGAACAGCCCTGGCTGGGTAGGGGTGCAATTGCTGTATTCCAAGGCTGAGCAAGACTCCTGCCCTGCTACTTCTGTGGGGGCAGAAGTGGTTCATCCAGGGGGACTGCCCTGGTGGTACAGTGGATAAGACTGCACTCCCAATGCAGGGGGCCCAGGTTTGATCCCTGGTCAGGGAACTAGATCCCATATGCCGTAACTAAGAGTTGGAATGCCGCAACTAAGGAGCTGGCGAGCCACAACTAAGGAGACCGCCTGCAGCAACTAAGACCCCACACAACCAAATAAATAAATATTTTTAAAAAAAGAAGTGGTTCATCCAGGCCTAGCTCCTCTGGTCCAATTCAGAGGACAGAACAGGGAAGATGGCAGGACGGTGGGGAAGGTGAGTTCATGCCAGGGTGGAGGTGCTGGGGGCTGACCAAGGGGGCGGCCCTGGTGGGAGGGGCCTGGGAAGTACACAGGCTCCTCCCTTCCCTGCTGGTTCTTCTGTAAAACAGGGACATAGGTGCCTGCACACAGCGACAGAGTTCTGGGGATCAGCCAAGAGGGGAAGGTGGTGAGCTTTCCGGGGGTCCCAGGCCCCGAAAGGAAGGCACAGCCTCACGGACGCAGTTCTGTAGTTCTGTCCCGGCTGAGGCTTGACGCTGCTGCCCAGGGCACCCAGTTCAGGGGCAGCAGGGGGGACACAGCATCTGGTGGTAAGAAGGGCTCAGGGGCTCTGAGCCAAATGTGATTAGAGGGCAGAGGACAGTGTGGAGCCACCTGCTCTGCCTTGCTGTCCCTACCTGTGTCCTGAATCTGCCCCTCTTCTCCACCCTGGCTGGGCCACCATCTCCTTTGTCCAGACCCCATGGTGACCAACGTGGGTCCCCATCTCAGTCTCATTCTCCTCCATCCAGCAGCCTGAATCATCCCTCCCAAGGCACAGAAGATGAAGCGCCCCTCCCCTGAGCCCCTCTGCGCCCCCCATGCTCCTGTGATCAAGCTCAGCTCCACAGAAGGGCTCTTGGGGCCCTGATATCTTGGGCTCCACCCTTCCCACTCCAGTCCAAACAGGCTCCAACCCCACTGAGCAGCAGGTGACCCCAGAGATGCCTCACCCCATACAGCAGGGGCCTTTGCCCACACAGCCCCCTCTGCCTGGATAGCCTCAAGATCCTGACTGAGTCTCTGAGTCCAGTGGGAAACCCTTCCTGAGGCCCTGAGCTGGCAGAGGAGGCGTCTCCCTGGGGCTCCTAGCTGCAGCCTCTGCCCCCGTCGCAGGACCTGGCATCGTGGCTGGGCTGTCTGTGCAGAAGCTCCTTGGCGTATGCAGGCTGGACTTCTGCAGCCCCGGGGGAGGCTCAGCAGGTTTCTGAAGCTGTAACAGTACAGGGAGCACGGTGTGCTGGGAGGGACCAGACGATCAGGACCCTCAGAGGAGCTGCTCTCAGGAAGCCGGGTGGTCAGATCTGGTGGTCAGTTTCATGGGACAAGCCAGAAGCCGGGACACAGGGCAAAGAGGAATCCCATGGATTCCAGAAAATGCAGAACCATGGCCCCAGAAAAATTTCAGGACAGTCCACACTGAACAATAAATAGGCGTCATCTGAGCATTTGGAAAGGGAAGGACATCATGCGTTTGCCCAGTGCACACACATCACCTCCTCTGAGGATGGGGCCGACCAGGGACATGTGACATCCCCAGCAACTGTGGTGGGACCAACGACCAGGACTTAGGGGCAGGGACCACACAGTTACTCTCCAGCCCAGCAAGCAATTAACTTTTAGCCTCGATTAAAGAAAGATGTCACCATGGAGGTAGGCTTCCAAGGCTATGTCCTGGTTCCTGACTGTTCAAACAAAATCCGCAGCTAGGAAACTGTACACTTAAAAATGGTTAAGATTGTAAATTTTATGTTACATGTATGTTATCACAATTTAAAAAATTGGAAAAAAATCCACAGCTGGAGAGAAGAGTCAGTGGGCTCTGTGACAGAGGCGGGATCCCTGGGACATCCCTAGGCAAGGGGAAAAGGTGAGATTTCAGGGGGAGGATCTGCATTTCTGGATAAGAAATGGATCTGAAGATGGCAGGAGACGGGCTTGACCACAGTTGTAGTGAAAAGTACCCAGAGACCATAAGGGACCCTGAGTGCAGCATAAGCAGGAGTGTGCTGTTTGCGCACAAAAATGGAAGCTGCCCCAGCACACATTAATAGAGGCTGTGCGTAGAAAAGGGCTTGCCTGGTTTTTTTTGTTTCTTTTTGTTTGCACTGGGTCTTCGTTGCTGCGTGCAGGCTTTCTCTAGTTGTGTCGCGCGAGGGCTACTCTTCATTGTGGGGCGCGGGCTTCTCATTGTGGTGGCTTCTCTTGTTGCAGAGCATGGATTCTAAGCACATGGGCTCCAGCAGTTGTGGTGCGTGGGCTCAGTAGTTGTGGCGCAGGGACTTAGTTGCTCTGCAGCATGTGGGACCAGGGATCGAACCCGTGTCCCCTGCATTGGCAGGCGGATACTTAACCACTGCACCACCAGGGAAGTCCCCCAGCTTGCCTCTTGCTATTATAAGAGCCCACCTGAGCACTGTGCCCCGTTCTGGGTGTTACCCTGACAACCTCCAGAATGCCCAGAGGTGGGACCAGGATGTGGAGGGGCCTGGACACCTCATGGGGGACAGCAGCAGGAGATTCTGGAACTAGGAACCCGCTGGGAAGCCCTCAGGCAGCCTTACCTCTGGGCATCTGCCCTGAACTTGTTCTGGCGTCACAAGGAAATTGGTCACCAAGAAGAACACGTTCTCTCCCTAGAAGACAAGCGTCAGGGTTGGTCTCTGCTCCCCACTCCCATCGGGAGATGCCAGAAGCCAGCAGCTTGGCTTGTGCGGGAAGGGGCCCTGGCCCCATCGGGTCATCAGCCCTGAGCCCCAGCAAAATGCTCTCCAGTGAGGCAAGGGAGGCAGAGACAGGAGGTTGGCTGGGCTGCTGGCCATTTCTGAGCCCATGTGTGCCTCTCACATTCATTTAGTTGCTCAACCAGAATTTTCCAAGAGCCTCCTGCTTCCAGGCACTGAAGATCCAGGTGGGGAGGTGTGCCCCTCACTGCAGGCATGGCCAGGGGCCAGGGGAGCCGGAGGTAAGCTCTGTTTGGACAAAAGATGACTGGCGCCTCTTGCTGCACATGAGAGCTCAGCGGGTGTGGGGGATGCACGCCCAGGAAGGGGAGGCGAGGGCTGGGCAGAGGCAGAGGCAGCGGTATGGTGGTAGTCAGGATCTAGAGGGGCTTCATGGCCACCATCATGAAAGGAAGCCTCCTAAGGGTCAAAGGTAAGGGCTGGCAGACTCAGCCTGGATGCCGCATGGGGACCCACCAGAAGACCTCAGCCATTCAGGGATGGTGTAAGCAGTTGTGAAAGCTGTTAGGAAATGGTATGAACAGGAGGGAGGGACGGTAAGGCATCCAGCAGGTCCAGCCTCGGCACTGGTGGATGTCATTGGATGACAAAAGGCCACACTGGGAGAGGGAGATGATTTCTCTTTGGATGTGGTGGGTGTGCACCCAGGAGGCAGCTGTACTCAGGGCAGGTGGTCACCAGGGTTAGAATTTGGGCACCAGCAGGACAGAGGAGGAAACTAAGGTTGTGGACAATCGGGTGGAGGGAGAAGTTGCCGGAAATGCAGCATGGGAGGGGCAGAGGAGGAGCACTCGACAGCAGTGTTCCAGGTCAGAGAGGAGGCGTCCAGGAAGCTCCAGGTCTCGGCACCCTGCACCCCTCTCACCCCACCCTCAAGCTCAAGCCTTTAGCTCCTAGACACTCCTCTCCTTTCCAGATGCAGACTTTTAATTTATTTTTTTCTTTTCCATTATGGTTTATTACAGGATACTGAATATAGTTCCCTGTGCTATACAGTAGGACCTTGTTGTTTATCCATCCTGTATATAAAAGTTTGCATCTGCTAATTCCAAACTCCCAATCCATCCCTCCCCCACTACCCTCCCCCTTGGCAACCACAAGTCTGTTCTCTATGTCTGTGAGTCTGTTTCTGTTTCATAGATAAGTTCATCTGTGTCATATTTTAGATTCCATATATAAGTGGTATCATATGGCGTTTGTCTGTCTCTGCCTGATTTACTTCACTTAGTATGATCCTCTTTAGGTCCATCCATGTACCTGCAAATGGCATTATTTCATTCTTTTTTATGGCTGAGAAATATCCCACTGTATACATGTACCACATCTTCTTTATCTACTCCAGATGCAGACTTTGTAAATGCATCTCTCTGGTCTGGCTTCCCAACACATCACCTCCTCTGCACGGAAACCTCTTACACATCCCTGAAAGCCCTGTCCAGACACCACTCCTCTGTAAGGCCCTTCCTGAGCGTGGCCCTGTGACAGCACCAGCACCCCCTCTGGCATCACATCCCTCTCTTGCACACACTCGGTGCAGGGGTGGTATCAGAGGTGCCAGTACCTGGCAGCAGCACCAAGTCACCCACCTGTGGTGGCTTCACGAAGTCAGCCACATCCCACAGCCGGTTCCCCAGCTCCTTGATCTGGGTTACGGAAACCCCTTTGAGTTTGGTGATGACAGAAATCTGAGGGTCCAGGTCCTGCTCCTGGTAGCCTTTTTTGGCGAGAAGGGCCCACCTGAGAAGGAGGCAACAGGTGGTATGGTATGTCCCCGGCACACGGCAGATCTGGGACCACCTGCTCAGTCTCTCCCCCGATACCCTCCAGGCTCCCAGGCCAGCATTCAGGGGCCCCACCTACTCCCCACCTCATTTCCCACACCAAACACCCTGCACAGGCCAGAGGCTCTGGCCATGCATAGGAGAACCAGTACCCTCACCAGGCACCCATGGGCTTGGAGATGCCCACCACCACCTCCTTCACCAGCCAATCCTCTCCCCCTGCCCGGCCTAGATCCAGCTTCCTCTTTAAAGACTACCCTGACCCAGCCTAAACTGGTGGTCTCTACTGGGGGCCTTAGTGCTTCAGCTCTCACAAGTGTCAGGGACTACCTCCTGCCGGCCGGGGGCCTCCTGTGCAGGGATGGGGGCCCATCCTGCTCTGTGCCCAAGCCCAACATGGGGCTGGGAACAAGGCACAGGAAAGAATGCAGGTGGGCACCCAAGCACACAACCTGCTCTTACACCCCACTGGCCTCTAGACAGATGGAGAGCCTTCCTTCTGCCCACCTCCTGACCTGTTCCACAACCACCAGCCCAGCCCCTGAAGAGTCAGACCTTCACCCCTCAGCCCAGCAGGACCAGCCTGCTCACAGGACCTCCCTCCGGCTAGCACGCCCAGGAGCCGTTCTCTTACCCCACCACGTAGACCATGACCCCCAGCTGCAGCAACCTCTGCAAGGCGCCCACCCGCCAGTTCCGGGTCCTCACATACTTTTCCGTTTTGTAATCCAGAAGCCCCCAGCCCACCACGGCCCCTGGGGAGACCATGCTCCCAGATCCTGCCGGCGGCTGGGGCGCGTGAGTCAGCACAGCAGCTGCAGCCACAGCTGAACGGGAGGTAAAGCAAGAAGCAGGCGCCAAGCCGGGCCAGGCCAGCAGCTATTAAAGGGACACTCAGGACGGGATTCAGCCTCCACCTCCCAGGCCCAACCCCCAGTTGCCCTGGGCCTCCCATCCGCTTCAGACTCCCTCTGCTGGGCCCCAGACACACAGAGAGGAGCAGTCTCTGTCCACTGCCCTCTGGCCTCACCTCCTTGGGGTGATGACAGGTGGGATAGGTATTGTGAGAGGGCGGCATGGGCCAGCAGGAGCCCAGAGGAAGACAAGGAAAGCTTGCGGAAGAAGCAACCTCTGAACTGACACTTGCAGATCTTAAGTTCAACAAGCAGCATTGGGGAGGAATGTTCTCGGTGGAGGGAGCAACATATGCGACGCTAAAGCGTGTGAGAGCTGGGACCCACAGAATGGGAGCGAGACCCTGGCTCCAGAGAGGAGGTGGCCAGGCCCTGTAAGGTCCCCCAGCCTCCTCTGTGACGCCCCCGAGGAGCTGCCCCACCCCCAGTCTCTGGAGTGGAAAGGGGGCGATGCTGGAGCCGCCTAGGGCGACGGGAAGACAAGCCCGCCACGCGCCAATCGGTCCTGGCTGCGAGCGGATCAAGGTCAGCCCGGGGCCGCAGCGTTGTCCGCAGCAACCAACAACTCGGGGTCGCCTGGACAACTGCCGCCCGGGAGGCTCTCTATTGGCTGCAGCGGGCGCCTGTTCGCCATGCGTCGCATCCGATAGGTCGATGCACCGGAGGGTCCGCCCACATCCCCTGGCCGCGCTCCCGATGCAGCCCTCGCAGTCCCGGCCTCGGTGTCCGCGAGTGCAGAGTGGAAGTAACCATGAGGGGTCCCTGCGAGGGGCCTGGAGAGAAGGAAGAGCTGGAGGAAGGGGCGGCGGCGGCCGCTGGGCGTCCTGCAGGGGTCCCGAAGGCCCAGAAGGGTTCGGACGCGGATTCGAACTCCGACCAGGAGAAAGAAGGTGCCTACGGGTCGGGGGGCAGGCTGGGGCCAAGTAGGCAGGGGACCCTGTCCAGCAGGAGCGCATCCCTCCGTGGACACCTTCGGGGCAGCCGGCGGCCGCTCCAGCCCTGTGCCATCTCCGTAATGTTCCTGGAGGCATCAGGAGTTCCATGATTAGAACAGGCTTCCAGAATGATGTTAAGATGCAAAAATCCTGCCAAACAGTCTAAGAAGGGCTGTCCCACCCTGACATGGGATCAGGGCTGGGTTTTCCCAACCCTCAGGAGAAACTAAAGTAATGGATGTATAGAACTTAGAATTGCTTCAGCTTCCTTCCCCATAAAATGTTCATAAAGCGTATGTGGTCTGCAATCCAGCGGAAGACACAGCATGCACTTTGGTGTCAGACAGGCAGGGTAGGGCCAGGATCAGCTGCTACAAGCTGCATGACTTTGGGGAAAGGATTTGCATTCTCTGAGCCTCAATGTCCTTGTCTGTATGTGGGGGCAACAGTCCCTACTAGCAGGAGGAAATGCCTCTAGGAGGAAAACAAGGCTGCGTAGTGATGGAGGCAGGGGAGGGGTCCACATCTATCCCTGTCTCCTATCAGGCACCCATAAGCTTGGAGAACTGGGCAAGGACACCCTCTACCTGAGATCTTGCTGGGCCCACAGCGTCATGCCTGCTTCCTGCTTTCTGCGCCAAGGGAGCACCCCAGAGCTCAACCTGCAGCACTGTGGCGTGGGGCCCCAGCTACCCCTGGAGGGATCCTGGGGCCAGGCTTGGAGGGCAAGGACCTGGGAGCAGCAGCCATGGGTGTGGTCCCTTCCTGAGCCCATCCACACACTCCCCGGCCTTGCTCTGTACCAGGCATGTCCCATCCCCCACAATGGGTGACAGGTGGGATCGGGGCTATGACAAAGTTCAGTACAAGGGCTGGGGAGCCTGCAAGCAGCCCATAACTTGCTGGAGAGTCAGCGAAGCTCCTGGGTGGAGCCTAGAAGGAGAAGCAGGTGTCCCTGGGCCTGTGGAAAGGGGAGGTCCTTCCAGCTGGAGGGCACTGAGTGGGCTGAGCCCTGCAAACAGAGCCTGGGTACTGGCTAGCTATCTGGGGCCCTCAGCTCTGGGAAGGGCTCAGGCCCCTCTCTGCCCCAGGCTGCCCAGGCTCTGGCTTCTGTGTTGACCTCCAATCCCTACATCAAGCGGCTGGAACTTCAGGACAGTGGGCTCTGTGGGGCCGGCACAGAGGCCCTGGCAGGTGCTCTGCGCAAAAGCAGTATCTGTGGTAGGTGCCGTGCCTGGGACAGGGGGGCAGGCTACCCCCACACCGGGCCTTGTCACCCCCCGACCTGCCGGTGTTGCTGGGGGCAGAGCCTCATCACAGGGTGGGGAGGGTGGGGTGGAGTTAGACCCTCTGTGGTGCACCCAGCGCTGGGCCCCTCCTCTACCCTCTTCTGCTAGCCAGCACCCCTGCATACGTCATCCTCCCAGTGCCTGAAGGCAGGTGGGAGAGTGCGGCACAGAGGGTCAGGGGCTGGGCAGTGCGGGAGGCAGGGTGCTGGAGTTTGTCAGGGCTGGATTCAAATGCCGCCTCTGCGGCAGGGTGACCCTGGGCAAGGAGCCAACCTTGCTGAGCCTCAGTTTCCAATCTGTGAAGTGGGCCCAACAATGCCACTTAGACCTTGGGTATGTGGGAAACATATGCTCAGCGGAGTGTCTGCTCACATATGAGCTCCACACACAGCCACCTGGGCTGTCACTGCCAGTCCCCAGAAATGTGGCAGTGGGGGCTTCTGTGGGTGGGCTGTGTTATGCCACACACAAATCATCAGCGGGCTGGCTGCATCTACATCGCAGACGTCCTCCACAGCCCCACAAAGTAGGTGGTTTTAGCCTCTTGACAAAACTCGTGGAGACATGGAGTGGGGGTTGAGGTCTGGGAAGCTGCCTGGGGCCGGAGGGGACCCAGCTGATGGGTGGCAGACTCACCATCCACCCCTGGACAGTCTGACTGCAAGGCCCCTCCTGCTGTGTCAGGCCTGGAAGGTGTGCGGGAGGGAGGAGGGTGATGCCTGGCTTTGGATCCCACCAGTAAGGAGTGGTGCTGGCCCCCAGATGTGGACCTGTCGGAGAACCAGCTGGGAGCGGTGGGATCCTGGGCTGTCTGTGCCGCCCTGGCGGTGAACCCGGCTGTGGAGAAGGCACAGCTGGCAGGGAATGGCCTGGAGGAGCAGGTGGCCCAGTACCTTGCTGAACTCCTGCTGGCCCACACAGGCCTGAAACCCCTGGACCTGAGCTATAACCAGCTGAATGACCAAGCAGGTAACATCCGGCCACTGGCCAGGGAGACCATGGTGGCACTCATGACCATCTTCCTGGGGCAGGGTGGGTGGAGTAGGCAGGACCACTCTGAGCATCCATGCTGTGGATCCTGCTCCCCCCCCATCCCCGTACAGAACTCTCGGCCCATTCCCCGAATGTCTTACTGCCCACCACTGCATATGCTGGGTGCTGACAGCCACTAGGGATCCAGCCATGAAGTATACTAAGTCCCTGCCCTCAAGGAACACACATTAACAAGATAACTCTCCATAATTATTGTGTTACAAAAGAAACAAACAGGGCTTGATTCTAGAGACGAATGTGGAGCCCCTCCCCGCTTTAGAGAGCTGACCACTCGGGAGGACTCTGTAAGGAGGAGATGTTTAAGCTGAAATGTGCAATGGGGGAGGAATCAGACATGGCAAGACCAGAGGGAGAGTATTTCAAGATGAGGAACTATTTCCCAGGCACACAGACACCAGTGTGACTGGGCTACTATGCCAGGAGAGAGGGTCCAGCTGTGGGATGGAGAGACAGCAGGGCCGCAGAACTACAAATCATGGCAAAAGGCATGAGGATTTCATTCCGAGTGCTGTGGAAGACATCAGTGGGATTCCTTGATCTTACCACTTTTGTTCATGCCCCAGAGCCTTTGCATGGGCTGGCTGCTTTGCCAGGAACATGCAGTTCTACCTGCCTGTCCTCAACCACCCCAATTGATTTTAAGAATCACCTGGGACCCTGGGTTAGGAATACAGATTCCGTGGCCCTGGGCCTCCTGAACCTCTGTATCCTCTTGGGGGAGATGTGGGTGCATCTGCATTTTAACAGGAGCCCCAGGAGATTTGTCTGATCCAGAAAGTTTGGGGATCACTGTTCTGACTGCTTAGTGTGAGTGGGGGTGGCGCCAGCCTTGGCTTGGGCGAATCAGCCCTAGAGTTTAACCGCCAGAGAGACAGTCTGCCTTCTAAGAAAACTGTTGTGAAATCAGTGAAATTAAAAGAGAAACTCTCAGGCTTCCCTGGTGGCGCAGTGGTTGAGAGTCCGCCTGCCGATGCAGGAGACATGGGTTCATGCCCCGGTCCGGGAAGATCCCACATGCCGCGGAGCGGCTGGGCCTGTGAGCCATGGCCGCTGAGCCTGCACGTCCGGAGCCTGTGCTCCGCGATGGGAGAGGCCACAGCAGTGAGAGGCCTGCGTACTGCAAAAAAAAAAAAAAAGAGAAACTCTCCCTGGTGGTTCAGTGGTTAAGAATCCGCATGCCAATGCAGGGGACACGGGTTTGAGCCCTGGTCCAGGAAGATCCCACGTGCCGCGGAGCAACGAAGCCCGTGTGCCACAACTACTGAGCCTGTGCTCTAGAGCCTGTGAGCCACAACTACTGAGCCCACTTGCCACAACTACTGAAGCCCACGTGCCTAGAGCCCGTGCTCTGCAACAAGAGAAGCCACCGCAATGAGAAGCCTGCGCACTGCAAGGAAGAGTAGCCCCCACTCGCCACAACTACAGAAAGTCTGCATGAAGCAACGAAGACCCAACACAGCCACAAAAAAAAAAAAAAAAAAAAGGTAACTATAAAAACATTAGTTCAAAAAAAAAAAAAAGAGAAGCTCATTTAAGACTTTCAACAAACTAAGGGTAGGCGTCCCTCTGGGCCTTCACGGTCAGAGCGTTAGCACAGGAGAGGCAGTGAGGATGGAGGGGCTGGAAGGCAAGGCCCCACAAAGGCTGCACAGCAGGGATGGGCTGTTTCCCCAAGTGGAGATCTGTGGGTGGGACAGACTCCCTTAGGGGTCTCAGTCTCCCCACCTGACCCAAGGCAAGGGTGGCACCTACCTCATGGGTTGGCTGCAGGGGTCATGAAGAACAAGCATTGGAACTACAGGAGGCCGATTCATGCGTATAGAACTTTCTCACCCTCCAGCTCTTCAGCAGTGGCGGACCACCGCCCTCCTCTCCCAGCCCTGGAGTGTCTGAGGAAGAGCAATGTACATGTCTGAGAACCTGCGGGTGTCATATCCATGGCTGGATGCAGGGTGTGAGCCCCCTTCTCTGGGAGGTTCCCTGGGAGGCAGCCCAGGGAGTCCTCACTGTCCTGCAGGGAGCTCTCCTAGGTGCTAACACTTATGTGGAACTGGCGGCTGAGCCCTCTGCTCTGGGCATTTCTTCAAACCAGCCTGTGCTGGGTGCCGGCACCATGGACAGGGCTCAGATTCAGATCCCTCGAGGGGCTCCCAGGTGTGTGGGAGAGACAGGCCAGGCAGAGAGGTCTAACAGCCAGAGCCTGGAAGGATGGAAGCACAGTGGACATGGGGTCCACAGTGGCCCGGCCCAGCCTGGCGGAACAGGCAAGGCTTCCTGGGTGAGGATGAGGAGCTCTTATCCAGGTGAAGAAAGGGATCAGCAGGTCCACACAGGGGGCAGCTGGAGGCTGAGAACTGGGACCAGGTCAGACCAGCTAAGTGTTGACAGAGTGGAAAGCAGGGTGGGTGGGTAGGACTTCTGCCCATTTTATGTGTAAAATATCTCTCAGCTTTCTTACCCACCCAGCCCTGCTCTTTCCTTTTCTACACCACTGCCTCCTCACTGCCACAGCTGTGCTGGCCCTGTCACCTCTTGTGTAGACAGTGGCACAAGCCATCCAACTGGTCCCCTGGCCTCTTGTCTCCGCCCCCTCCCACCCACCTTCTCACTTCTTAACGCATCTCTCGAGTGCCCGTCACTCCCACCTTCCTCCACTGGCTTGCCTGGCCAGCCCAGCGCCAGGCCAGTGTGCATTTCCACAAGCACATCCGCTCCTCCCCAGATCCACTCTCCACGGTGCCTGCCCACGTGCACAGTGTGTCCCTCAATCTTCAAGGTTCTCTCTGCTTTCTTGACCCCCTAGGCAGGGTTGGCCCCCACTCTGTCCCCACACCTCCCTGTTATGGTCTGTAATAGCTAACATCCCATTAACTTATATTTATAGCTTCTCCAATAAATGTGAATTCCTTGAGGGCAGGGCAGGCCCACGTGGGGTTCAACGCCCTGACGCTGGTGCGCAGCAGAGACCCCAGCCCACAGCGGGCATCGGTATCACTTTTTGAAGGAATGAACAGAGTGAATAAAAAGTCTGTCTTGGTGTTTCTGAAGGGGAGATGCTTGGACCAGCCCTGGCAGAAAACAGGACTCACTGAGCTTAACATAAGCTGGAATCACCTGCGAGGCCCAGGAACTGTAGCCTTCGCCAGGGGACTAGAGGTATGAGGTCTCGCCCAGTAAGCCCCTCCGGCCTGTCCTTTGGGGGCAGGTCTCCCAGACGCCAGCCCCCCATCTTTCGCAGCTCTTCAGAAATGAGTCTTGGATCTTTTCAGCAGAGCTCAGAGAATGTGTTTTGTTTTGTTTTGTTTTGCGGTACGCGGGCCTCTCCCTGCTCTGGCCTTTCCTGTTGCGGAGCACAGGCTCCGGACACGCAGGCCCAGCGGCCATGGCTCACGGGCCCAGCCGCTCCGCGGCATGTGGGATCCTCCCGGACCAGGGCACGAACCCGTGTCCCCTGCATCGGCAGGCAGACTCTCAACCACTGCGCCACCAGGGAAGCCCTCAAAGAATGTTTTTTCAGGTGATTTTCATTTTCCTGGCTCTACTTAAGGACGACAACATGTGGTCTCCCTGTGCCCACTCTCATGTCACTAAGTGAGGTGTCCACAGCTGAATGTCGCACACCTTCTGAGACATCACATACAGGCGGCTGGTGGGGACACTATGCAGTCCAGTGACACATGCTCACCGCTGGGCAGATGCAGATGCTTCCCTGAGATGACAGCCTTGCGCCCTGGGATCCCAGCACACACTCTCAAACACCCTGCCTGCTCCCTTGGGTCTTGTGGTTCGTAGGCCTTGGAAGTGGGCAGCACAGGCGCCTGTGATGCTTCTGGTGGCGGCTGCCTCTGTGGGATCCTCCTCAGGGAACAGCAGCCACTGCCTTGCCCTCTGACAGGGCTGATCTTCGGTCCTGCCCCACAAGGTGACAGATCAGGCTTTGTGTCCCCAGGGCACCCACGAGCTCCCACCCTCCTCCCCATCACATTTCCCTGGGTATGTTTCATCCAATAGCCCTTCACTGGGGTGCCCTCTGGGCCCTGGGCTGCACTGTGCTTTGGGGGCCCTGCCCTTGAGAGGTCCCCACTCGGGGCGGGGGAGCTTGATCACTGTGTCTCTGGGGCCTGCTGCCCAAGGAAGATGGCCCAGTCCTGAGGCTCATTCGCATCCACACCCACCCTCTGTGCTTGCTTCTGGTCTTTCCACTCTGCCAGTCACCATCGTCCAAGCCCCAGGGCTCTCTTCTGGAACCTCTGTGGTCTTCTGCTCTCTGTCCACGCTCTTTGCTCCTCGGGCCACCTGGGCTCGGAGGCTGGGGACTGGCTTCCTCCACCTTCACATGTGGTCCCATGGGGTTGCTGCTTTGCGTCCGTCAAACATCTTCCCGAAGGTCTTGGACATCTTGTATAATGGCTGTGGGGATCCGGGAGCCTCCGTGCTGGGGGAGGGCTCAAGACCAACAACATGTTGGAGGAGGTCTACATGAGGTGAGAGCACGGGGTGCCCCGCCCCTGCCTCCAAGCCCACGGCCACACAGGGACTGGGGCTCATCTTGCTGCTGTTTACCACTTCGTGCCCAAACCTGCCACACGCACTCATGATGGGGCCGCAGCCACAGCCCAGCTCCATCCTTCTCACTCAAGTTCCTCCTTTGTAATTGGGACTCATAACGTGTACTGCGAGGCCAGGGGCTGGGAAGTGCAAACGCGTAAGGCATCTTCAGCAGAGCCTGGTGCAGGGGTGGGTGGGGTGTGTGCTCCACACGAGTTTTCCTCCATTTCAGGAGGAGTGGTCTTCTCTGCCCAGCACACGGCTGCTGAGGGGGCCTGCCATGGGTGGGCTGCTCCTCCAGGCCCTGGCAGGGTCCCAGGCCTCTTGGGAAAACCAGAGCGGGAGCCACATCCCAGAGGGAACGGAAGAGGCCAGACAGGTCATGGGCTACTGCGGCTGAGTCTCACACCAGGGCTGCCAGAATGAGCTGGGCCTGCCTGCCATTGGCAGGGACATGTGCTCCATCCTGCCCACTTTTCCTCCTTATGGAAGGAGCCATGGTCAGAGGAGAGATGCTGAAATTCAAGGTCAAGCTGGGGTCTAAGTTAGAGGGACATGGGGCTGACTGTGGAGACAGAGTGGCCGGGAGCAGTGCTGAGGCCTGGAGTTTGTGCCCATCAGGAGTAGGAAGAGGTGGGGAGGGAGCTGGGTGGCTGTCATGGGGATAGGAACAGGGTGCCAGCTGGGGCAGGATGCGTGGGAGCACCTGCTGAGTGCTGAGGGCCAGGGAGCAGCAGCTGGTGCAGGAGGTGGGGGGAATAACACTCTAGGTGTGTTTGCTGGGCAATCTTGAACACCGAAGCCTCTGATGAAGCTTTTACACACTGACCTGCCCAGGGCCCCTGGCGTGTTCATGAAGCTGGACCTGGGGGCTGCACCAGCAGCTCCAGCCAAGACCCTGGGGGCAACCTGGCTCTGCACAGTTGTTTGCAAGGCAGTACCATGCACATGCCTTTCTGTTGCAGCAACAACCGCATCTCTGCAGTGGGAGCCCTGAGCCTGGGCCTGCAGGTCAACCAGACACTGAGGATTCCTGCTGTGAGTGCTAGCCTGATGGGGAAGGCCCCAGCACAGACCTGCCTGTGCCTGTCCACACAGACCCTTCCCCCACTACATCTCCTCACCCCAGTGGCAGTGGGTACATGGGTCCCAGAGCCCAGGTGGGGTAGGGGGCCCCCTGGCTTCCTCATGTGACCACTTCTTCCCCTTATCATTCACTCACCCATCTCTGGCTTGACCCAAGAACTCCTTCAGACTCCTCCCCCTCCATCCTTCCCTCTCAGCTGCCCCTCCCCCTCAGCCCACTGGAGTTGTGCTCTGCTGAAGATGGCCAGGGCCACCTGGCTTCCCCTCACCTTACCCTGCTCTTCCCCTGGCCTTGCTGGAACCCAGGGGCCATCCAGGTATTCTGTCTCCAGTGGGGAGTGTGTGGCTGATCACTGAGAGCAGAGAACAGAGAAGGGAGGGAGGAGTAGGCCCACAAAGACCACTGTACCAGCAGCTCTGGGGGCATCCAGCCCTGCATGGCCCTCAGCTGGCACAGGAGCCCCCAGCAGCACCCCCTTCCCCAGCCTGAGGCTCACTCCTCTCCTAGCTCCGGCTGAAACCCAGACCTCTCTCTAAGCTCTGGGTCCCCATTTCCAGCCACCTGCTGGACCATCCCCCAGATGGGAATAGGCACGTTGGATTCTGGGAGTCGAACCTGAACGTGTCGTCCCCCTGAAGGGCTGCCTCTAGGTGGGGGTTCCTTCCCACTGAGTCAGAAGCTGGGGGCTCGGCACAGACCTGCCTGGGGTCCAGTGCTGAACCCTCCCTTTCCACATCTTCCCTCCATCTCACCTTCTGAAGAACAGTGTGGGGAGGTGGGGGGAACGGGGCTGCCTGCTTCTCCTTCTCACCTCCTCCTGTTCACTGTCTTGGCCCTTCCTTCCCACCTGCTTCCACGTGATCTTTCTACACCAGAAACATGCCCCTGCTTTAAATCTGTTGGGCACTCCCCTCTGGACAAATCCAAGCTTAGCGTGTCATTCACAGCATGTGGGCTCTGGGCTCTGCCAGCAGACCCCCCACCCCCCACCTTGAGGCACATCATTCTCAGCCCAAGCTGCTTGCAATTCTCCTACCACACAGTGCAATTTCTCAGCCCTGCTTTGATCCTGAAGCTCTTCTTACTGAAATGCCCAGCTCCACCCACCACACCTGTAAAGCTCAGCTCAGGGGTTTTATCCCCTGCCCACCCTTTACCTCCCAGGGAGGGTTGGTGCACCCGGTCTCATGGCACTCTTCACATTATACTTTTATGTTTCCTTTCCTCTCCTCCCTGTACCAGTGAGCTCTTTAAGGGCGGGGTGTGTCTTGTGTGTCTATGTCTTTGGCTCCCAGCACAGAGTGGGTGAAGGGTGGGGGCTCAGTCAGTGTCCACTCCCTTCCTTTCTTCCCTGACTCCAGTCTCACCAAGGGCATCATGTCTGAGGGAGGTGCCTTCTGAGCTGAAGGAGCGGGGCCGCCCAGAGCCACATCAACAAAGATGAGGGACCCCTCCCGCCTCCCTGGGCTCATCGTCTCTCACCTGTGTGTGTGTTTCTCAGGTGTCCAGGAATCCCATGCAAAGTGAAGGCTGCTTTGGTGTTCTCAGGTCTGTCCAGGCTAATCCACTGTCTGCCCTAGAGCTGCTGGATTTTTCTGTAAGAACTTCTCATAAAACTCATCTCGGATCCTCCCAACAGCCCTAGGAGGTATAATTTTCCCCATTTTAGAGGAAAAAAAGTGGGGATTAGAGAAAGAGTGCCCAGGGCAGATACATGGTGTGGCCACATCCAAGTTCAACCTGGGTCATGCCGCCACTCGGACTTGCCTCCCACCCCCGTGTGGGGTATCACGGTGGTCTCACCTCAGACCTGCCTGGGTTCTTCATTGGCCGAGAGAGAATAGGTGGCTTAGGGGGCACAACGCTCACTGCTCACCAATGTTTGCATTTGCAGGTTCAGCTCTTGCAAGGCGGCCCCTCTCCCTGTCCAGTACTGGCTGCAGGTGCTGGAAGATTCACTTGGGGAACTGCACAGGAGATGAGAACCCCTTTTCACTCAATTTTGCCTTTTTAATATAGAAAAAATGTCACTCTTTTCTAAGGTGGTTAAACATTAAGGAGAGAATCCCCAATTATAAATTATGAAAAGAGTCTAGTCACAAATCACTGCTTATTCTACCTCTGATTTTTTTCAACCCAGGCCTGAGTCAAAGCCTTTCCAGAGATGTGTTTACAGCTTCAATCCTTCAGGCTTGGGACAACTAATGCCCTAATAAGCTTCTTTGATACCTTGGGTACATAAGTAAAACAGTCAAGTTCTCAGAAAGTGATAACGCACAGCCTTGTAATGGGTTTCTCCTCAGGATATCCATGTGAACAGAGAGTTTGATGACCTCACCAGCTCAGTGAAGGTCATTCTTCCAGGGCTTTACATAAAGCTGCCCACAGAGTGGAGTACAAAAAAGAATTCCTGCCCGTCTTCAGACCGTCTCAATGACTATGTTGTATGGTTTCTTCATCTCTCCCATTGGCCACTTCAACTTTGAGATGCCTTTCAACACATGAGTCTGCACCAAGTCCCCAGGTCAACTGGGTGGCAAGTCCTACAGAGCCGGCCTTCATAGTGACTCAGACACTGGTACTAATCGGGGCCTTCCTTTGCTCTCACTCATTCGTGTAACACGAACTTGTATTATATGTTGCACACTGAGCTGGGCATGGGGTCAAAGATGCCCAAACAAGACCCTGCCCTGGAGACCTTTGGACACAATTAAAATATAAGGTGGTCTGCAACTGGCATTCTCAAAGTCAACTTGGGAGAAGGCAAATGGACACAGCTTTTTTGGAAGGCAATTCATCATCATGCACCAAGAGCCTTAAAATTGCCTGTCCTGCGATCCAAAGTTCTGACTAATCTGCTCCACAGAAATCACCAGAGATGCATGGAAAACCGGATGCCCAAAGATGCACATGCAAATGCTGTTTATGATATGAAAATTGAAAATAATCTAAATGCCCAATAACAGGGGATTGGTTTACTACAATTTGGAATTCTGTAAACATTAAAAGTCAAGTGTTCGAAGAACATTTAACAGTTTGTGAAAATGCACATGATTGACGTTAAGTGAGAAAATCAGGATAAAAAAATCACATGGTTTGTCTGGCAGCTCCTCAAAAGGTTAAACATGGAGTTGACCATATGACCCAGCAATTCCACTTCTAGAGAAATGAAAACACACAAAACATCTGAACCATCTGAACACAGATGTTCATAGCAGCATTGCTCATAATATTCACAAAATGCAAATACCCACCAACTGATGAGTGGATAAACAAAATGTGGTATACCTATACAATGGAGTATTATTTGGCAATAAAAAGGGATGAAATCTGGGGTGATGGAAGTGTTCTAAAATTGATTAAGGTAATGGTTGCACAACTCCATTGACATACTAAAAGTATTTGAATTGTATACTTTAAACACGTGAATGGTATGGTATATGAACTGTGGCTCATAAAGTTGTTTAAGAGAAAAAGGAATGAGGGACTTCCCTGGCGGTCCAGTAGTTAAGACTCCAAGCTCCCAATGTAGGGGGCCCAGGTTCGATCCCTGGTTGGGGAACTAAAATCCTACATGCCGCATGGTGCCACCTGAAAAAAAAAAAAAAAAAGAGAGAGAGAAAGTAATGAAGTCCTGACACATGTGACAACATGGATGAACCTTGGAAACATTACCCTAAGTGAAAGAAGTTAATCATAAAAGACCATATACTGTACTTCATTCATATGAAACGTCCAGAATAGACAAATATACAGAGACAGAAAGAAAATGATAGGTTGCCTAGGGCTGGGAGAGGGGAGGAACTGGGGACTGACAGCTAAAGGGTATGGGTTTCTTTGGGGGATAAAAATGTTCTAAAACTGATAGTGGTGGTGGTTGCACAACTCTGTGAATATACAAAAAAACCATTGAATTGTGTACCACTTTAAATGGGTGATATCTGATATGTGGATTATATCTCAGGAAAGCTATTAGTAAATAAATAAATACATAAAATCATGTTGTTTGGCCCAAGTTGTATGGATAACAAATGTATACATGTATATACTAGCAGGAAAAACAAACAAAACAACCCTGGTATTAACAATGTTTGTCTCTAGGTTGTGGCTTTATAGATTTTATTTCCTTTCTGTTTTTCTGCATGTTCCACACTTTCTACTCTATAAATGTGTGTTACTTTAACAATCAGAAAAATTAATTGTACTTAAGAAATGGCGGGTGGCACAAGCTACAAGTCAGCTGCGCGCGCTACGGCCTGAAGGAGGGCACCCCCATCCCCAGGACGAGGCCCTAACGCCCTGAGACTGTGTTCGGAGCCGGGAGGTGACTGAAGGTAAAGGCCCCCGATCCCGCGGGATAAGCGCCCCTGAAGCCCGTTCTCCCCGCCCCACGCGGGGCCGCTCCGGACAGCGACCCTCAGGCCTCCAGAGCGGTGAGACAATCTCGCGGTTTGAGCACGGGGGCGGCGGGACCGGACCAGAGGCGGCGGGACCCTCTCCTGCTTCCCCGGAAGACTCTGCCTTACTCCAGCCTGTCGTTACGCGACTGCCCGCGCCCTCAAGATAGGACACCGAGCGCTGCCCAGCCCGGCACCTCCCTCCCCTCCCCGCCCCGCCCTGCGGGCTCCCTGCGGCGGCCCCCCCAGCGGCGGCCCCCCCACCCCACCAGCGGACAACAGCCAGGTTCGGCTGCGTAGACACGGTCAGGCCTCCTCGAAACCGCCTAGCTGGCGTAGACAGAACAGGAAACCGAACACCACTCCCACCTGAAGGCCAAGATCTCGCGGGAACACCCACCTGCGCTCATCCTTCGGCGTCCCCGCAGCCTTCCCGCCAAATCCACGTCCAATCAGAACGCGCCACACTCTGGGAGTCGCGTGCTAACCAATAGGGAGCGGGATTCCAGACCTTGGCCTGCCCCATGGTGCTCCAGACCAATGGGCGTTGGCGGCGCGCGTCCTAGGAGCGCGCGGCGCGGCAGCAGCAGTTGGGCGGCTGCAGCTGTTGAGATCGGAGTGCGGTGGTGGTGCTCACCATGGTACAGCCGGGCGGGCGGGAGGCCTGGAGGCCGTGTCCCGGGCAGATGGGTGGGGGCCGGGTCTGAAAGGATGCCCGAAGAGCCTCGTGTGGGCGTCCGCTCCCCGATCGCGCGGCCAGAGCAGAGGCTGAAAAGGAGAAACTGCGAAGGCGGCGTTCTCGGCCGTGGAGCCACAGTTCCCACGAGTAACAACGTCCGAGTCCGAGAGCCGCGGCAGTCAGCTCGCCTCGGCACGTTGTCTCTGGGCTTAGGGGAGGCGGGCAGTCCAGGCTGCAGTGGTCGGGCTGCCCGGTGCATGGACAGTGGGCACAGCGGGCAGGGCCGGCCTCCGGGGGTGGCGGGGGGCCGTGCTGGGGAAGGAGGTCATCTGCTGAGAAGGGGACACAGGACTTGGTCTGGAGAAACTTTCAGAGAGGAAATAGAGCCGAGTACAGAAATATAAACAAACTTCAGCAATCCAGGCAAGGTCGGCAGTGCGCTCGCTTTCTGTTGACAGCGAGGAATGACATCCCCGAGCACTGCAATTCCTTTCACTCTTAGACAGTCAGATGGACGTGGCCTTACAAACCATGGAGCTCCCCAGCCGCATTTTGTAAATGAAGACATTGGGGTATTTCTTCGGATCACAGAGCTGGCTCTGATCACACTGGGGCTGAGAGAGTAGAAGGACACAACAGGCATCCTGTGAAATACAGTGGATCTGGATTCAAAGCGAATAGTGTGCATTTGAAAATGGTGCGGTTGGGCTTCCCTGTTGGCGCAGTGGTTGAGAGTCCGCCTGCCGATGCAGGGGACGCAGGTTTGTGCCCCGGTCCGGGAGGATCCCGCATGCAGCGGGGCGGCTGGGCCCGTGGGCCGTGGCCGCTGGGGCTGCGCGTCTGGAGCCTGTGCTCCGCAACGGGAGAGGCCACGGCGATGAGAGGCCCGCGTACGGAAAAAAAAAAAAAAAAAAAAAAAAAACCAGAAAATGGTGCGGTTGGGTGGATTTCAAAGGACTTCCGGGGTGCCGATGGAGTCCTCCTCTGGGGGAGTGATTTCGTTGTCATTGGAGATCTTTCCCAAACCGAATGCTTCCCTCTGGGATGATGTTCGGGGATTGCTGCATCAAACTGGTCTCTCCTGCTCTGAGATTTGGTGCTTGTATAATAGAAAACAGGACTTCAAGTTCTGAGGACTGTATGTAAGTCAGAATTTAGTGTGGGTGGCACACCTCAAATTTCATGTGATCACCTCTGTGTATTTGTAAGGATGATGTGTCTAAAATCAGACATGTGATTAGGGACTAGAGTTAAATTCCCGGCAGGAAAGAAACGGTACATTCAAAACAGATACTCACAGGACAATCTTTAAGAAGATACTATTTATAAAGATACGCGCAGGGTTTAAGGAAACCACCAAAGGACAGTGCAATATCCCAGCACTTGTGCCATCTGGGAGCCATTAACTCCTAGGCTGGAAGAGGTGAGGGGATGGAGTGCTTATGAGAAGCTCAGAGGGTAGGTTTATGACAAGCGCTGACTGCTGACACTCTGTGCCCTTGTACAGGAACTCAAGCGACCCAAGGCAGCCCGGCAGGGAGGGAGCGAGGGTCAAGCACCCCGACCACACCTTCCTCTAACCTCCAGCTCTTGCTGGTGCCTGACATTGGCTAAAGCAACCAAAAGCCAGGGGGCACAGTCCACATGGGTCAGCCTCCTTGAGCACAGAGCTGGACAGAGAACAGAGGCTAGACTTAGAGGGGCAGATGAAACACACACAGTGACCACCCATGCTTGGGCCATGGTGGCCTCTGTCCCAGTCCACTTTTCCTTTCCCAACTCAATTACCACTTAACCTTATCATTTGGTCAGAACACAATAAAAACTGCTATATTCTTCAGAGAATTACTGTGACTAGCCATAACATGGAGTTTATTATTGAAATACGGCTTGCAAAATTTTAAATAACCGAATTTTTGTATAGTAGCAAACACTTAGGTTCTGGGGCTAATTCTGGCATTCACTATCAGCTAGAGTGGTTCAGGGCAAGCCAGTTTTCACAGGGATAAAAGGGTCACATAAGCCTCCTGGAAAAGAAAATAGGGAATGAGAAAGCCCCAGACACTCTGAAGCACATACAAACATTTAATTATATTTTGCCTGCCACACAGTAATGGCTGCCTTCAAGACAAGGGGCCTCACATGTATATTCTGGTTCCCAGCGTGAGTGCATCTCTATCCACGTGGGACAGGCGGGGGTCCAGATCGGCAATGCCTGCTGGGAGCTCTACTGCCTTGAACATGGAATTCAGCCCGACGGCCAGATGCCAAGCGACAAAACCATCGGCGGTGGGGATGACTCGTTCAACACGTTCTTCAGTGAGACTGGGGCTGGCAAGCATGTGCCCAGAGCCGTGTTCGTGGACCTGGAGCCCACCGTGGTCGGTAGGTACCCTTAGACTTAGAAGGGGAAGCACAGAACCTTTGCTGGGTTCCTCCAGATCAGAAGCCCGAGGTAGTTTCCAAGGGGAGCTGCCAGGAGAGAGCACCTTTCAGTGGCGGCCACCCAGGAGAGAACAGAATGTCACCTTGGAGCCCGTGAGACCCAGGCCACAGAGGGCGCCCGGCAAAAGTCACGCTGATGTCTAGTATGTCAGGGCCATTTCAGCAACACCCCGGGTGTAGCTGTGGGTGTGAACAAAACATGCACGCGCAGAACCGCCTGTGCGGTGTGAGCATTCCCTCGCCTTTGGGAACTGGCCACACTGGCATTTGTTCCTCGGGTTGACTGGACCTTCCCGGAGCCATAAACAGCAGATGAGGCATGTGTATCACACGGAGACCTTTTCTGTGAGACGCTGACGCTGCTGGCCTGCAAGGCACAGCACGTGCCTGTACAATTGAAGGTTTCCCCAGACCTGGCCATCCCGGTGAGTCAGCGACCGTCCTTAGAGTCTCGGGCACGCTGTCCTCTCTGCAGATGAAGTGCGCACGGGGACCTACAGGCAGCTCTTCCACCCGGAGCAGCTGATCACCGGGAAGGAGGACGCGGCCAATAACTACGCCAGAGGCCATTACACCATCGGCAAGGAGATCGTCGATCTGGTCCTGGACCGGATCCGCAAACTGGTGAGAAGGGCCCTGGGAAGGCCTCCTGGACAGGAGGGGAGGCCCGGGATCTCCCCGGGACATCACTTTGGCAAAACCCAGCAGAACCATGAGTGCAGGGTCTTCCTTTCCGGTGTGGCCGCAGTGCGTCCACGTCTGTAACTGCTAAGTGTGATGCGTGTTCCCTGTGGATGGGTTGAACCCGTATAGTGAACCTGCAGAGGAAGAGTGTGCCGTGACCGGGGCCTGTGGGGGCCCGTGGGGGTGGTGGCACGGCTCATGCGGGCGTGGCCTCATGGCCTCTGCTCTCCCGCAGGCGGACCTGTGCACGGGCCTGCAGGGCTTCCTCATCTTCCACAGCTTCGGGGGCGGCACCGGCTCGGGCTTTGCGTCTCTGCTCATGGAGCGGCTCTCGGTGGACTATGGCAAGAAGTCCAAGCTGGAGTTCGCCATCTACCCAGCCCCCCAGGTGTCTACAGCTGTGGTGGAGCCCTACAACTCCATCCTGACCACGCACACGACCCTGGAGCACTCGGACTGTGCCTTCATGGTGGACAACGAGGCCATCTATGACATCTGCCGGCGCAACCTGGACATCGAGCGGCCCACGTACACCAACCTTAACCGTCTGATCGGGCAGATCGTGTCCTCCATCACGGCCTCCCTGCGCTTTGACGGCGCCCTCAACGTGGACCTGACGGAGTTCCAGACCAACCTGGTGCCCTACCCCCGCATCCACTTCCCCCTGGCCACGTACGCCCCAGTCATCTCGGCCGAGAAGGCCTACCATGAGCAGCTGTCCGTGGCCGAGATCACCAACGCCTGCTTCGAGCCGGCCAACCAGATGGTCAAGTGTGACCCTCGCCACGGCAAGTACATGGCCTGCTGCATGCTGTACAGGGGGGACGTGGTCCCCAAAGACGTCAATGCGGCCATCGCCACCATCAAGACCAAGCGCACCATCCAGTTTGTGGACTGGTGCCCGACTGGGTTCAAGGTAGGCTGGGCGGTAGCGCGTATTTACCTTCCGCCTGCGGCAGATCCTGGGACGGGGTGCTGCCCCTTTGTGGAGGGTACCCTGTTCCAGGGCAGCTGCACTGCAGGGAGAACAAGTTTAGTAATTAATTTGCTAGGTGCCTTGATCTTTAGCAAGGACTTTACGTACCCTTATTTCTTACAACCAACCTGTAACACTCATGGGCTACTACTACTACTATCTTACAGTTTAGAGACTGAGGCTGAGACAGCTTTTAGTATCTAACAGCCTCAGGGGCAGCGAGCAATGGAGGGAGCTTTCAGGGACGTCTGACTGCAGCATGTCTGTCCTCCACATTTTCCCACTCTTGCTCAAGAAGCCTGTCAGGGTCTATGGTATCATTTTGTATTAGAAATCATGGTTTTTAGATTTCACATTACTTCAGTCACCAGTTGTCGCTGCATTTTAGGTAACATTTATGTTTTTGTAGACAGAATTTTAAATTCATTATGCAGTGTTTTCTGTGGGGCCAAGGGTGGTTCACTGCTGTTACTCCAAACCAGACTCGGAACACTGCCTCGCACACAAAATCACACTGATAATTAGGTGGCTCCTTCAACCGTGTTTAGTGTCACGATGAAACGTCTACCCAGAGAAAAGCAACCTGTATCTGGAAGCCAAGTAACATGTTAGACCTATTGTGATCACCAGGCTAAGTGCCTCGCCACGCCTGGGATCCTTAACTCTGCCCTCTCTTCTTCATTAAACGTCCTTGTTCACAATTGATCTTCCACATTAGAAAAAGTGCTAGATCCTGCACTCGTGAGCCCTGATGAGTTCCTGAGGTGTTTTGGGGAGTTGCACGTTCCAGGGTCATTGCAGATTGAAAATGAAGAGAAGTAGAAGCAATATGTGTGTCATCCTATTGCCATTTGGAAAGTCCAGAGCTTGCCTCTGACGACAGACAAGTTGTTGCACCCACCTGGCCTCTGTCAGCCCCACTTCAAGACACCCTGGCACTGACCATCTCCGAGGGTGTAAGACCGACAGATGCAAAGTGACTCACAGAAGAGTAAAGTCTATAACAGGTTTCACCAATCTGGAAATATTCATTACACCTTCCATAAGAGGTTTGCAGACCTCAGAGGTTATAGGTGGGGGTTGAAACCTTCCATTCTTGACTTCTCCTTTCAGTCACCTCACCATGACCTTCGGAAGGCAAGGACATCCAAGGCAGCCGCAGCTGGGTGGCACTTTGGGGGGTGATGTGCCCTCTGCCCAGGCTTTCCCTCCTGGCTGAGTCTCTGTGAGCCAGTGGGGAGGCCGGTCTTGTGGGGAGGTACAGGAAGTCACAGCTTCTGTCCCCACAGAGGATAGTTCTCCCTCAGATGGAGCACGTTGAATTCTCATTGCTCTAAGTTCCTTTTTGTCAGTCTGAGTGTGATTTCACCATACGTTCTTTAATAACCATTTCCTCAGGGGTGCACTATTGTCAAGGAGTCTTTCCCATGTTTATGTTTAGTTTTTTCATTATAAATGTGTGTATGTGGCAAAATATTAAAATGACTTAGAAGGCTGAAAAGCTGAAGTCCTCTTCCCCTTCCAGAGCTTTGTCCCTCAAGAGATAGTCTGTGCATATTCACATTACACCTCTTGTTATACGGGTGACGTTGACAGAAAGGGGCCAGCGACATGGGCAAAGAACATTCTTTAAAGGTAGGTGACAGACTCCACTCATGCCAAAGAGAAACGGAAGCTGGCAGCACTCCCACTTGGAGGGGCTGGCTGGCCTGACCTTAGCGCTGTGTGAGAGCACCCCTCTATCAAGTCAGAACCCCCTGTGCCCTTCCCCCTGCTCATCCCAGCTCTTCTGGAGACTGGCTGTGTCCAGCTGCTGCTGACTGCTAGCTGCTCACTAGGGCAGGGAGGGGGTCACAGCATCAGCCCTCTCCCCGTTGTTTGTCCTCCTCCAGCATGGTATTCCCTGAGCTGTCAAAGACTCTAGCTGGTGTTTAATACTCTACAGGTATTTTTAAGCATAAATCGAATTAAAGTTGCTTTTCTTTTTACCAAGTATACCTTGGACATATTTATATGCCGGGACAGATTTCTCATTCTTTTCTATGATCATATAGTGTTCTACTGTAGGGAGTGTATGATAATTTAACTAGTTTCCACAAAGGACATTTGTTTCCAGTTTTGCCATTTCAGATGGCGCTTCACAAAGTGAAAATATGAAGTCAACGGATATTAGATGTTGGCATATATTGGTACAAAACAAAGTACCAATTCCTACAGGGCATAATTTAAACTGGGTCCACGACCCCCGTTTTTAAAAATAACCTACAGGGCTTCCCTGGTGGCGCAGTGGTTGAGAGTCCGCCTGCCGATGCAGGGGACACGGGTTCGTGCCCCGGTCCGGGAAGATCCCACATGCCGCGGAGCGGCTGGGCCCGTGAGCCATGGCCGCTGAGCCTGCGCGTCCGGAGCCTGTGCTCCGCAACGGGAGAGGCCACAGCAGTGAGAGGCCCGCGTACCGCAAAAAACTCCACAAAAAACAACCTACCTACAATTTCTGAGGCCACAGTATAAACTTCACCATGAAAAATAAATAAATTAAATAAATAAATAAACTTCACCATGTTCCCCTTCTCTGGCAGGTGGGCATCAACTACCAGCCCCCCACGGTGGTCCCAGGGGGAGACCTGGCCAAGGTGCAGCGGGCCGTGTGCATGCTGAGCAACACCACGGCCGTCGCCGAGGCCTGGGCCCGCCTGGACCACAAGTTCGACCTCATGTACGCCAAGCGCGCCTTTGTGCACTGGTACGTGGGGGAGGGCATGGAGGAGGGCGAGTTCTCGGAGGCCCGGGAGGACCTGGCAGCGCTGGAGAAAGATTACGAAGAGGTGGGCGTGGACTCGGTGGAAGCAGAGGCCGAGGAAGGGGAAGAGTACTGAATGCGAGGGCGCGGCTATAGGCCCCCTGTCCCCCGACTGTCACATTACAGATGTGTTTACCTATTAAAGTTTCTGTATTGAGCATAGTCTGCCCTGTGCTGCACTTCGACCAAATTCCCACGCCAGATACTTTCCTTTTCCAAGTGAATTTCTAGGGAAACTATGTTCCTCCCGAACAGAAAAGATGCAGCAGGTCCGTACGTGTGTCTCGCTACACAGAGCAGTCAACTGCCGCGTTACCCCCCGAAAAAGGCTTCAGAGTGAGGGGCGGAGAACCGGGAAGCGCTCTCCGCCTAAACAACTGGAGTCCTTCGCGCCGGCCAAGGCGCTCCTCGGGGGCCGGAAGTGGGCTGGTTCTCGTCGTCAGAGTCGCGGGCCAGCCGCGTTTGCCCCGCCCCGCACGAACCCACTCCCGCGCCCCACCCCCGGAGGAACTGTCCCGGAACCTCCCGCCCGGCCCAGAAGAGGAACCTCTCCCGCAGGAAGCGTGCGCGCCAGCACCGCCGGGCTCGTTCCCGTCGTAGGCGTTTCCCGACCCGGGCGGCGTGGGAGATCCCCGCGACCACTCCCCGGGCTCGCTCTGCAGTTTCCGGGACCCGCCTCTCGGCGAACGCCGCGCACTTCCGCGTTTCTATGGTATTGACTTCCGCCGCGAGCCAAACCTCGCGATACTTCGGCGGCGCAGCAATGGCGAGACCGTGAGTGCCGCAAGCGGGAGTCTGGAGAACAGGCTGGGACGGGGTTCGGGCGAGATCGAGCCGGGGAAGACCCGCCACTCGGGGGCCGCTTGCAGCGGGGTGGCAGCCTGGGGCGCGAAGCCCCTCCGGGCCCCGACGGCCGCCCGCGACCGAGCTCCCGCCTCTTCCCCAGATGCCGCGTCACTGCTCCGCCGCCGGCTGCTGCACACGGGACACGCGCGAGACGCGCAACCGCGGCATCTCTTTCCACAGGTTAGCGCGCGTGCGCGCCGGCGCGCGGAGGGTCCCCTACGCATGCGCCCGTCCTGCCGCCTCGCGGAGCCACTGCGCACGCGCTTCTGTGGTCGGGGCGGGGCTTGAGTGGGAGGCTGGGTGGGGGAGGAGGGGCGGTCCGCCTGCCCGGGCCAGCTGCTTCGAGTCTCACCTACGTGATGATGTTCAGCGAGTCTCTTTTCTTCTGGAGGCCTCAGCTTCCTTGTCTGTGCGCAGGCAGTGTCAGCGCGAGGTCTGGGGGCGGCATGAGCGGGGCCGGCCTTTCCCGTCGGGCTCACGGGCTTGTGGCCCCGCAGGCTCCCCAAGAAGGACAATCCAAGGCGGGGCTTGTGGCTGGCCAACTGCCAGCGGCTGGACCCCAGCGGCCAGGGCCTGTGGGACCCGGCGTCCGAGTACATCTACTTCTGCTCCAAGCACTTCGAGGAGAACTGCTTTGAACTGGTGGGAATCAGGTGAGCCTCCTGGCAGCTGGCAGTGGGCAGGGCCTGGGCAGTGGGGTGGCAGCCGGCCGGTGGGGAGGTCCCCGGAGCAGCAGCCCTGGTTTCTCCAGCTGGGAAGCTCAGCTTCCTCTCCCGACAGACCTGGGCAGTGAGACCCACTCCCCTAGGGATCACTGTGCCAGAGCGCACTCCCTGCAACCCCAGCCCTCCCTACAAGTGCACAAACGGAATCAGTTCTTTTGGCTGGGCTACCCTGTTCTGGTGGAGCCTGTCCACACTCTTTAACTCTGAGGAGTTTTGCACGGAAGAGATTGGTGGGGGCCTTAACTTGGCATTCCCCAGACTCATTGTTGGCAGGGTGCCGCCCACCTCCCACAGAGCTAACCCAGCAGCTTGCTGGAGTGCTGGAGGGCCTGCTGGCTCCATGCCCTGCGGGTCGGCTGGGGCGGCAGGGATTTGTTCCACCTCATCCAGACCGCTCTCCCTCGCAGTGGGTATCACAGGCTGAAGGAGGGAGCAGTTCCGACGATATTTGAGTCTTTTTCCAAGTTGCGCCGAACAACCAAGACCAAGGGGCACAGTTACCCCCCTAGCCCCCCTGACGTCAGCCGGCTCCGGCGATGCAGGAAGCGGTACGTGCTGCAGCGGAGGGGGAGGTGCCCCACTGCACCCCAGGTCTGAGGGACTGGGCTTTAGGGTGCCTGACAGCAGCCTTGCTGGACCGGGTTCTGAGCCCGTGGAGTGGGTTCAGGGATGGGGGTTAGATGACCTGGTGAAATGGGGTCGGCGAGCCCTGAGCCTGGCCTGTCAGTCTCTCTCTCTTCCCCCCAGCTGCTCTGAGGGCCGAGGGCCCACAACTCCATTTTGTCCACCTCCACCTGCTGACATCACCTGCTTTCCTGTGGAAGAGGCCTCAGCACCTGCCGCCTTGCCTGCCTCCCCCACCGGGAGGCTGGAGCCTGGCCTCAGCAGCCCCTTCTCAGACCTCCTGGGGCCCCTGGGTGCCCAGGCAGATGAAGCAGGCTGCAGCACCCAGCCTTCACCTGAGCGGGAGCCAGAGCGACAGCCGTCTCCGCTGGAGCCGAGGCCCATCTCACCCTCAGCCTACATGCTGCGCCTCCCTCCGCCCGCTGGAGCCTACATCCAGAATGAGCACAGCTACCAGGTGGGCAGCGCCCTGCTCTGGAAGCGGCGGGCTGAGGCTGCACTCGATGCCCTGGACAAGGCCCAGCGCCAGCTGCAGGCCTGCAAGCGGCGGGAGCAGCGGCTGCGGCTGCGGCTGACCAAGCTGCAGCAGGAGCGGGCACGGGAAAAACGGGCACAGGCCGATGCCCGCCAGACTCTGAAGGAGCACGTGCAGGACTTTGCCATGCAGCTGAGCAGCAGCATGGCCTGAGTGAGGGCCGCCCGGCAGGGCCTCAGCCTCTTTCTCCCTCAGTATCCACCTTGAGAGGATCTGATCTGAGCTGCGTCCACCAGCCCTGCTAGATGCCATAATAAAGTGGATTCTAGAAAGAAGCGCTGCTCTCTGGCTCAGCTGGGGGCTGGGGCCCTTCCCCTGGGTACCAGGCCCGTTTCCCCAGATTGGCTGTAGCACCCGAAGGGCTCAGGCCCTGTAGTCCAAGCCCTTGGCTGTGGAGAGCAGAAAGCCCTCACTATATAGCTCTGTGTCTGTGTACTGTACAGGGCTCTCTGAGGGATCGTGTGAGTAGAGGTTCGGGGGCAATACTGGGCACCCTTTCCTTGGTACCTGAAACAGCCTTGACTTAGCCAGCTGGTCTCTGAAGACACCCATGAAACCCAGGCCAGGCTCAGTTCTTTTTCAGGGAAACAACAGGCTTCCCTCCCCAGATCCAATCTGCCCAGCAGTCAGACCTGGCATGAGCTCCAGCTGCTGGTCAGCCCCCCACTCACCACCAGGCCTGTCCCATCTGAAAAACGGACAAGAAAGGCAATTACTGACCTGAGGTTGCTATGCTTGGCAAGTAGTGAGGGCCCCACAGTGACCATTCTGATCCCCAGAGGTCTGGGATGAGGCGTGTGGGGAGCAGAGGGCCAGGCACTTGGGCAGCAGTCCTGGTGTCACCTCTGTCCTCATTTTCCTTCAGTTCACCTGGAACGTGGCAGGCCTCCCTGCATCTGTGATCAGCAGCTCCGTGTGTGAGGCACTTAACCACACACTTGACCTCCCTGCTGGGCCTCAGCCACAGCAGCCCCAAGAGCACCGCTGAATCCTTTCTAGTCCTGGAAAAGGCCACACTGTGTTGTGTGGTTTGCTTTTTGGGGCCCTTGGAGTGAAACTTCGTTTATTCACGTTACGCACAGTCAAATGGACATTACAGGAGGCAGACACAGAGGGCAAGGTCACAGGTGGTTCCCAAGCCTGCGGGCCGGCCGAGGTGCACCTTGCACAGGCCATTTCCTAGCTTGCTGGGCCTACAGGTGAGCACCCCTTGCCTAAGAATGTCCACCTGGGGCTTCTCAGCAAGGCCTGAGGAGTGGCAGATGCTGCGTTTACGTGGGGCACAACTAGAGGCAGGAAACAAGCTCTAAGGCTCAGAAGAGAGAGACTGTGTTTCCCCCAAAGTGGCTTCCTGGCAACCAGGGCAGAAGGGTTCTTGTTCCCAGAAGAGGAGCAGAATGGTGCCTTCCCCACTGGGGTGGACTTGGCACCTTCTGTCGGGACAGGGAAGGACTCAGTGGCCTGTCCTCAGTTTCTCAGTGCAGGCAGGAGCCTACAGGGCAGCCCAGGAGCCAGGAGAGCCAGCTCCGGGCCCCCAGGGCTCCCCTCAGGTGGGGAGGGGCCAGAGGCTGGCCTGCATTCCTCCCACCAGCCCTCCAACTATGTGACTGGGGCACCCTGGGTGGGGGTGGAGAGCTGCTGGCATGAACAGAACCAGGCAAGACTGGCTTATCCTGAGCCATCGGGCCACATGGCCCAGCTTCAGCTCCAGGAGGATGGAGGGCTGGAGCCACCGGTGGGGACTGCGCAGTGAGGTTTGGGTGCAGGTAGGACTGCTGTGGCTTTAATGGAGGCAAGCCTATGACAATAAATACTTAGGGACAGATGCGGGCCTGGGGCATCTCTGACTTCTCTCTGGAGCAGCCCAGGGCCCCCACGCACACAGGTGGGTGGGATCCCACAGCCCCTCTGGATGTCTGGCCCAGTCCGCAGTGGCTGACCCTGCAGGCTGGGAGCTGACCTTAGGGCCCTTCACACCTCAAAATTCACCTGGAGTTGGACTCCATCTACCCAAGTTCTGGGTGGCAGGAGGAAACCCTTACACCAACCTTGATGAGGGTCTGGGGGTGCTGTGCAGCCCCCACATTGAGGGGTCTTGGCAACATGACCCAGTGGCTGGATGCACAAGCCATGCTGGGTCCCTGCTGTGTAGGGGGCCCAAAGCCAGCTCCCTGGTGGGCTCATCTCCCTCACTGGGCCCTGGCCAGGCCCCTGCCTCCTCCTGCAGTGTCCTCACCACTAAGCCCTGGCTTCCCACCCACACCTCCACCCTGGGAGAGGGTGCCAGCCAGGATCCCGCTTCACCGTCTGCTTCCTGTGGGACCTGTGTCCTCAGCAGTGAGATGAGGCATTTGGAGTCCCCCACTCAGCTCCCTTCGGAGGCCCTGGGCACACGACCCCTCGGCCACAGGCCCGAACGTGGCCAGCACAG